GCTCCCATGCCGGCACCAGGCCAGCACACCCTGCTCAAACACAAAGCAGGCTCTGGACCAGCAAGTCTTCTGGCATCAAAGACTGTGAGGAACAGCTCGGGGAAGTCTCAGTTCAGCTGCCCCCTCCTACAATTGTTTTGCACGCAGAGTATTTATAGAAACAATAAGTTCTCAAGTTGTGTGTGAAGGACGTGACACATGTCTTGCCTTTGATGTCGAAGTGGAAGGCTAACAAGTCATCTTGAGAACAGATGTGGCAGCAGAGATATCACCATCATCAGGGAACAAACCTGCTCTAAGCAAGTCAAAGATTGAACTTGACAGCTGAGAAAGATTCAATATTCTCCATTTTCTCTTGTCTGTGAGAAGACGCAAGAACACCAAAGAACCATTAATTCGCACTTGACCAGATCTGATCTCATTTCTGAAGCCTACATGAAAAAAATGACAGTTCCTCCACTTTAAGGGATACCCCATATTGCCAGTAGGACAACTGGGTGCTCCAGGCTTTCAACCGTATTCACAGAAATCCTGTCTCCTTCTCACCCATTCCTTTACAGGAAGTGCCTGTAACTGTTACAAAACAGTTTTCAACCCCACCCAACACTATTCAACAACAGGATTTCAAGTTACACATAATTTTATTTGCCACGCTGTGATTGCCATAATAAAATGCTTCAGTTTCAGCACTTCAGGAAGCTTCATTCATGGGACGCTTCTCCAATTAAATGCTAGTGCTGAGCTCACAAGCATTTATATTTAGGTAAGAAAGCTCATATTTTAACTTCTGTACTGAATTTATGCTGCTTGGACTCCTACAGCTATGAATATGTCAGCTCGGAATTCTACTCAACTTCCAGTTCACTACATTTTGCATTAACTCACTACAACGTGAAACACACATTAAATCCTGATTAACTCTGCAGGTTGGTAACACTGCTATGGACACTCAGAACAGCAGAACACGCTCTGACATCAGCTGCCATCCAGTCGTTGCTGCCAGGCGCTCCTCTGCAAAGCCAGCTGCTCAAGACAGAAGCCACAGTGAGGACCAGGCAGAAAAAAGGGGAACAAACCTTCATTTGCCAGTATTAGCATCAATCATTTTAAAACCACGACATGCACAAAAGAAGCCTCCTAAGCAGCAGAACCCTACCATTTACCCTAACGTCTCCGCTGCTCTCATGCAGGTATGGATTCCACCAGCTGTATCAGTGCAGAGCCCCGAGCCTCCTTCTGTGCGAGGAACCCCAGCCCAGCTCCACAGCACGGGCAGCGGAGCATCGAGCCGAGCAGATACAAACCCTAACAGACTTAGGAGATGTCAACGGCTTTAACACCTGCCGGAAAACGAGCATACATAGAATATCGGGGGAGAAGGGAACGCTCAGGTCTTACGGGCAGGAAAGCCGAGGAATAGGAAGAGAGGAATCCATTTCTCCCCACACGCTGCCTCTGCTACGGCGGAGAGGCAAAAGCTGACACCCAAACGGCGCCGTGCCGCCGCAGGGCCCCAAGGGAACATCAGACTTCAAGGGGACATCGGGCCCCCGCCCGTGAGCACGGCAGCTGTCCTATTTCAGCAGTACTCCCTCAAAACCGTTTCCTTTGTTTCTCCTCGGCCCGCCCACCGCCGCAGAGCCGCTCTCAGCCCTCGGGCTCGGCGCAGCCGTGCGGCTCGCAGGCCCCCGTGCCCGTCACGGCCTCCCGCCCGCCGCCCACTCCGCTCCCACACGGCCGCCGCTCCCTCGGCGCTCACCCGCGACCCCCACCGCCGCACCCGGCCCGCCAACCCCCGCCCGCACTCACCCTCCTGGAATTTGGGCTTGGGGTCCTGCTTGGGCGCCATTTATAAGTGCCTCGCCCTCCTCCCGCCCCCTCCCCGCGGGGGCCTCACCACCTCCGCCGCATTCTGCACGGCCGGCCCCAACCCCCGCCGTACCGCGCATGTGCATCGCACTGCGCCGCCCCCGCGGCATGCTGGGATCGGTAGTGCGGGGCGGGGCGGCCGCGTCGGGAGAGCGCGGCGCTGCGGCTGCGGTGCTGCGTCGATTCGGTTCCGTTCTTTGGCGGTGAGGATCTGAGAACGACTGAGGAGCACGTGACAAAAATTTAACATGAAAAGAAAAGTTGCGCGCCCAACGTGGGGCTCGAACCCACGACCCTGGGATTAAGAGTCCCATGCTCTACCGACTGAGCTAGCCGGGCTCCTGACTGTGGCCTTGCTTTCTATTCCACTCACAACACTTTTACATCACACACGTGGGGAACCCTGACTCTCACTGAGAAATTTCACATCAAAATGATAAATTTCTTAGAAAAAGAATGTCTCAAAACTATGTAAATCAGTGTCAGAACACAGTCAAGTCTAGGGTTTTTTTTAATTATTATTATTACATTGTATTTTCAAATAGAAAATAGACTTCTCAAGACACCCTAACGAATAGTTGATCTTACCTCTTTTTTTACCAGGATACGTTCTTGGAAATCTCAGGGATCCTTAAGGATTTATTTCTGTGACCATTTCTGCTCCTCAATTTATAACACTGCAGCAGTAGGCTAGCCACCTCACTAAAATGCAAAGAATAAAAAAATGAAAGAGATCTTTAACGGAGATGCTTGTTCCAGGTGCTGGTGAGCAATGCTGATTTGGAAATCAACAAAAACAGTTTAAAGTCTTCTTTCTTCTTTTCTTTTCCTCAGTTTCCTAGGTGAAATTTGACAAGACCTGTTTTCTGAACTGCGTTGCCAGTTCCTGCTGCCCTGCGGCTCCTCCGCGCCGCCAGGGGGCGCAATGCGGTTGCTTGGCGCGCAGCACGTTCCTCACAGCGCCTCGCGCCACAAGGGCGCGAAGCGGGACCCTCGAGTCTGGAGGGGTTTGCTGGGCCTTACCGGCTCTTACCGGGAATAACCGTCTCTTACCGAGCCTTACCGGCCCGCAGCCCGTTCACAGCGGACCGGGGCAGTCCGCAGCCCTTCCGGGGCTCATTGGAGCGGGCGGTGGTATATAAGGTGCCCATCGCAGCTCGCTCTGTGGAGCCTTCGCACCTCAGCGCAGCCTCACGCGGGGTGGGGCAGCGCTCACAGAGCCGGGCTGCTGTGGTGGCTGCGGCTGCTCGCAGCTCGGCCTGCCCGGATTTCCGCGGGCTTTGTGCTGTTGGTGGGGCTGGCAGGCACCGCACGGTGGAGCAGCTGTGTGATGGATGCAGCTGAATGCTCATCGGTGTTGTTCTGTAAAAATATTGCTTGTGGCTATTCTGCCGCATCTCTGTTTTCGTGTTTTAACATCACTTCAGGAAAAGAAAAAAAAATCCAACCCAGGCCAACAGAAGGTGAAAACATCTGGGAAGCGACAGGGTTTTCAGTGTAGTCTGGGAATACAGGGCATCCTCCAAACTGCCACGTTTTCTGAAGAGATAAGAAAGCATTTGGAGGTTCTCCGTGGACTTCCTGCATGCAGTTTAGAACGTGGATGTTGGGAGAGCTTTAGAAATGCATTGCAGGAGGACCTGCTGTATGGATAACACAGCATTTCTTTGTACTGCAGGCTCTGATATCAGCCCACGCCATTTCTGTGGCTTCCCACCAGCAGCCAGCACGGCGAAGCACGGCACTGGGGCAGCACCGCCCTGGGATGCAGAGGAGCTGAGAACAGCCCAGCCTGGGCAGAGGCAGGATCCTCTCCAGCACAGCAGTGTAAGTGCTGTGGGTCAATGCCCCTGCTCTGCGTATCCGTATCAAGAGGCAGAAGCGGCCTCGCTCTCTTCTTTCCCTTTGGCAGAACTGCTGTAAACACTGCATCAGTGGCACAGCAGTCACTGGGGGAGAGTACTGCCTTACTGGAATTTGCCAAGGGCCATTCAAGAGCAATTGTTTTTCAAATGATGGGATGCTTTAAAATTTAATTGCATTCTTCTTTGTCGCTTGCAGAAGATGCAAATTTTGGCAAGTCAGACATGAACTTAGTGGTACATCCACTGTATTGTGTGTGCCCAGATTGCCACATGAGAGCGCAGCAGTGAGGCAGCATCCAGCAGGCCCAAAGTGTCAGTCACTGGCCTGGGTTTTGTCCTGTATAAAATATTTTATATAAAATATTTCTGTGGTGTTTTACTGTTGAATTTGGCATAGAAATGCAGAGTTCTGAGCAGGAATTGCTTCATTTAAAAAAATGTCAGAGAGCTCCACATAACCAAAGCTGGAACACCCTATCATTATAAACCCATTAAACCTCACTCACAAGTAATCTTTCCGATCCTACTTATCTGAAACTAAACACTTGGTTTTGCTGTTCTTTAAACATTTTAGCCTAATGGCTTAAATAGATAGAGCTAGGTGCTGAGGTCCTGACAGGCACAGGGAACAGGGAACAGGCAAGGGAAGTGATATAACATGCTCCGTTAGCAAGTCCTGTATTTAGTGAGGAAGGGACTATAATTTCCTGCAGCCTTTGTGCTCTGCCAAGGAGTTATTTAAATAAAACAAAATCATCCACGCGTTGTATTTCCCATTCTTTTTATCATGAAAAAAACAAAACAAAAAAACAATCGGAAAAGACAGAGATGTAAAAAGGGAAAGACTCTGGCCTCGTGTTTCTACTGGGGAAAATGGCAGCTGAAATAAAGCATTAACGAAGTGTCTTTCATTGGCGTTTGTGCAGATGTGCTGTGAAACTGAAGGGAGGCAGCGGTTTCACAGAGGAGCCAAAACCACGCACCTTCCCGGTACGAAGAGATGATTTAGAGCAAATTTGCGTTTTTTCCTCCGAGATCTGAAGCTCACCACCGAACGCTATTGCTTTCCACTCCTCGAAGAAGCGGGTTGCCCGTGTTGAACGAAGTGTCCCCGCACACGGTGGCCGCGCGGGGTCACTCCCGAGCTGTGCCGGCAGCCGCGGGGCAGCGGCGGGGCCGGGCCGGGGAGAGCGGCGGCGGCGGCGGGGCGGCCCCGCGGGCCGGGAGACGCTCAGTGCCCGGCCCGGCCCGGCCCTGCCCGCACCCATGTCGGCTCCGGGACGGCTCCTGCTCCTGGCCACCGCGCTGGCCGCGGGCGTGCAGCGGAGCGGCGGCGCCGAGCAGCCAGGTGAGCGCAGGGATGCGTGCGGGGATGGCCGCGGGTGCGGAGCTGCGGCCGGAGAGCTGGCCCCGGGGCTGCCCGGGTTCCCCGGCTCACTGCAGGCTCTCTCGATGCTCTCGGACCGGAGCGCGGCAGCGGCTGGCTGTAGGAGCGTTGCGACCCTCTGAGGCCGGGGAGGTGCTTTACCACCAGAAATCTCCAGCACGGTTTCCAGGCACCGTTTCAGATTATTTATTTATTTATTTATTTATTTACTTTGCTGCAATGACTGTAATTAAAGAGTGGGAATGTGTGCATGGAAACTGGGACTGGCTCCCAGCTGTGCTGTGGTGGTCCTTGGTCAGAGCAGAGCACCGTGACTAATATTTGTGGGATCAGCTACAAGCAGTAGCCCGTGGGAGAAGGTGAGGATGCGCTGTCAGAGAGCAGAGGCGAGGTGAAGCAGCCCAGACAATGCATGTACTTTGCAGGTACTGGGAACTGGCAGTAGGCACAGCTACCAGATCCAGCACACATCTGGGTAACTGACCCCAGTGAGCTGTCTTGGGATTTCAGCAGCCAGCTCAAGCAGTAGGAGGAAAGATTGATTGTAAAGCTAACCACAGGAACCCTCTTTTTGCAGAGCCTGCTCTGTGGTCCTCCAGCAGCGACATCGTTCATCCAGTCAAGGTTGATGAGAGCGGATCCTTTCTGTCCTACGACTTGTCCCACCGAGCCCTTCACAGAAGGTCTCTTTCCTCCAAGAACAAGTTTCTTGCTTTCTATGAACTGCATTACAAAGGACAACCGCTGAAATTCAACCTGAGCCTTAACGTCAACCTCCTCACCCCTGGGTTTGTCAGTGAGAGGCGGTACGGGGGAATCGCCGATGCCAAGATCCAGTCCCACACGTATAACTCCTGCCACATGATCGGGGAGGTCCGGAGCCGGACGCTGAAGGGAGGCCTGGCTGCGCTCAGTACGTGTGATGGGCTGGTGAGTATCAGGGTTCTTAACCGACAGGGAAATAGCAGAAGCTGTGTGAAATCCCCTTTTCTTTGGAAGGTACTGGCAAAATTCCTCCTGATAGCAGTGGAGTCAAGATGTCATTGTGTAGGTTTGATGCTGCTTCGAATGACCTGACTGTAAATTTCCCATGGATTCCAGTAGTTTGGGAACTCTTGGGACTGTGTTTACTTGTGCTTGTGTCCGAATTCCCAAAGAGCAATTCCCATATGGCCTTCATCTTCTGGTACATAAATATAGGATTATGAGAAACTCATCTGAAAGCGTAGTTGATCAAAGCCTGGAGATGATGAAATATCTCACGATAATGAAATACTGTTTCATGATCATGTGGTTCATGTGTAGTGAAATCTCTTTTCACTAGAAGTGAGCATCAGCTGTCTTATTCCACGGCCAGTATTTTCAAAGGCAATAGGGACATTTAAGAAGGTAGGTTTTGCTGAAAGCCAGAGTCATTATCATTAGTAAGACTGTGGTGTAGGCACTTAGGAAGGCAAATTCATGTCTTTAGCATAAATTTGCATGTCTGCACTAGCTTGCATCTGGCTGGCACAGGTACTGGGTCCCCACAAGGTTTAAAATCTCTCAGAGATTTGCGGAATCATTATGGTGTAACTTCATAACTCACATGATGCACAGACACTCCTCAAGTAGGGGTGTGTGCCTCGAGAGGGGGTTCTGCTTCATGTGGTGACCCTGCACAGAGCTGGCACACACACGGGGTACAGGGCTGCTGCTGCTGCAAGTACAAATCAGCAGTAGTCCTCGTGCCCCACGTCTCTGCATTTGCAGGGCTGGTAATTCCTTGCCCTGGCTTCTTCCTGTGTGCTTCTCTCCGAGTCCCAGCAGGTCCTCTGGCTGCTGCAGGTGGCTTCAGTTCAGCTGAGGGCTGTGTTTGTGTTTCAAGCTTCCTGTGTTTAAAGAAAAGCAGTATGTGTCTGTATGTTGAGCTGGCCTGCTAAAGCATAATGGTTTGTAAATTGGAGGTCTGCACAGGCCACGCGAATCACAAATCTGAGCACACAGCTGTGCTGCTGGATGCAGCAGGAGCTCACACCTTCCCTGTGATGGGCAGGAGCTGAGGCACATACCTGGGGCTGTTCCCCATACCGGTTCTGAGCCAGGATTTCAAATTCAAAAAGTAGATGGTGCAGATGGAGCGGACATGGGAGGGATGCTCAGTGTGTCCAAAAGCTCAGAGGAGTTGGCTCTGGCAGCGTAGCATGGAGAAGGTCATGAAAAATGCCGTGCGCATCCTGGGAGGTGTCAAAGTTGCTCTTTTCCCACCAGATTTAACAGCATCTGAGGGTGTTCAGCACCTTGCACTTCATAAGTCGCTGAGTTGGGGGATCAGATCATTTTATTTGCACTTTCACTGTCAGTTCAGCAGCTGGGGTTCTGCCAGTGAGGTTTGAGGTCTGAAGGAAGCCTGCCGAAGGGCTTGAGAAGGGTGAGCAGCTTAGCCCAGAGCTGGGTACTGCGGTCATACTACTCTAATGCTGCCTTTGCATTAACTTCCTCCATGGCTTTGGGCAGTTTTTTCCATCTGGAAAGCTGGGTCTGTAATAACTCCTGTCTTCAGAGTGCTAAAGGAACTGGTTAACGGGATTAACATCTCTTTGTGACTGAACTATGGATGGGAGAAAAAATAATACTCATTAAGTAATTCATTTTCTGCGTAACGTGTCATCTGGAAACACCTTTTTTATGATAGAGAATCACATAATTAAGGCCTGTAAAATGGGTTGGAAATGAACAATATCATATAAATGCTGTAGGTGTGTATCATTTGTTAAGGAGCAGAAAAAACTGTTAGCTCACAAAAGGCATCAGCACAATGCTGCCTGCAGCCAATAACCTGAGTGGTGAGAAACCTTCAGCCTTAAGTTGCTTTAGAGCTTTCCTGCTTGGTCTTAAAATAACCAGAGCTTTTTGTCAGATGCTAAACCGGAGGAAAATGCACTGACAGTGTGCTTGTGTCTCACATAACGATCAGAGAAAGTAAAGTGTGGCACTGAGCTCTGTTACAGTGAATTACTCACACACACCTGGTAATTGTGCTAGATGTTACCGGGTGTAAATAAGGAACTCGTTGCTGGTGTGGGATAATCTAGATCTGGAGGCTACAGAAGCATACTGCATTTGTACACAGCAGCAATATCTTGCATTTCAAGGCCAGCACTGCTTTGTTAGAAGCACTCTCTGCCTCTGAGCTGTAAAGCACAGATGGGCTGTCCCAAAATTCCTGTTGAAATAAGTCACATAGCGCCTCAAAGGGACACGTTCCTCCCTTGTTCCTCCCTGTGCAGCAGCTGGTCCAGCACTTGTTAGATATGTAGCATGGGATAATTATTCCTTCTTTAACAACCATACCTGCCTTTGAGATCAGTTTCTGAGTAAGGCTTCACCTTTCTTAGAAGGCTGTTAGAAGACTTTAGACTCCTCCTGTCAAGGATTCTAAAATGAAGCATAGTGCTGAATCTGGGTTGTGCTCTCCTGTGCGTAACATTGTCAGCTCAGTTTCACCTTCTGCTGCCTGCTCCTCTTGTTCCAGCCTGTTGTGCATCAGTGTCAGGGAGGCAGGAGCAGGGATGTCATTGTCATGAGCAGTGGTGGGCCAAGACACATGAGGTGCAGTGAGATTAGCGGAGCGTTTTAAACAGACCTTCCTGCAGACAGCAGAGCCCTCAGCATTCCCACAGAACCTCTGTGGGGCAGAACGCAGCCCTTGCAGGGCATCCCAGGCAGGCTTAACGGGGCAGTGGTCTCTGCTCCAGCTGCAGAACCCAGCCCAGGAGCTCCTGGTTGCTGGGGATGAAGCTGCCCAATCCAAGAGCTTCTCGTTCGGCAAATGCAGGTGCGTTTGTGTAACTGTTCCTGAGATGCAGTCTGGGGCTCTGTGATCCCAGGTGAGTCCATAACAACGTGTCACAGCTGGGCCAGGACCGGCTCAAAATACCCATAAGAACAGCCTCTTTAGAGAAGACATGTTTCTGCCTGGAACATCTTGCAAATCTCTCCCCTCCTGATATTCATACTAGGTGCGGACAGCTTCATGATTACATCTCTGTGTCTCCCTGCTAGAAAGGTGTGTTTCGGCTCATGGACGAGGACTATTTCATTGAACCAGTAGCCGCCAGCTTTCCCGAGGATGCAGCAGCACAGCCCCACAGGGTGTACAAACGCCATGCTCCTGAGCACCCGGGAGAGCAAGAGAGAAAGCAGCCAGCAGCATGGGCAGCCTGCGGTGTGCAAGGTATTTCTCCTCTCGTACCTCTCACGATGAACGGCTAGATGCTAGAACTCATAATTTGGGTTCTGTAGTTTGAAGTACGCAGTGAGAAGATAAAGGAATCAGTGCCAATCCTTAGTCTTCTAAGGTGCTCAGCAGACATGCTTATCTTAAAATCTGGGAGTGTTCAGCTCCTGTGATGTGATCTCAGCACCCAGCTTTTAGCTTGAAGGACACTGAGGTGAATGCTCTGAGTTTTCGAAGTTGCTGTGCTGGTTCCCTCCCTTTGCCACTTCTCTGTCTGGAAAGGAAATGCTCAGAGCACTGAGACACAGCTGAGCTGTGGTTTTGTGGTGGTTTCTGTGGGTGGTGGGCATGCTGGGCCCATTTGGTAGGTGTCTGCCAGCTGGCTTTGGGTTCCTTGCTGCAGGATGGCCAAATTTCTGAAAGTGTAGGCAAACGGTGGTTTCCACAAGCGTTTTTATTATGGGAAGGCTGACCACTGGTTCAAATTGTAAGTCGGGAAAATGTGCTTGCTTAGCAGCAGGCAAAAGTTCTCTGACATTCATGTGTGGAGCCCACAAGTCACAAGAATTACGGCAGTTTTTTTTTCTCCTGCCAATTTTCCTGTATTTGCTTATGTTTCTCACATGCATGCTGAACCTCAGGCCTCTCATTCATCTTTTCCTCCCAAGCCTGCTGCAGGCATCCTGTGATGTGGAGACTGAATATTTGTTTTTGATTCCTTGCAAACATCAGTTTGTGACTTGCCAGAAGCTTGGACTTTTGGAGTAAAATTTGATTTCCATGAACTAAACACCACAATTCCCATTTACGCCAGTGAATCCAGGTTGTCACCATGGCCCTTCTGCCCAGCAGAATTGTTTTATGGCAGATTAAATGCTTTCTGTATCCATAGCACCCTGTTGTACCAGTGTCGAGGAGCTAGCCGTCCAAGGCTGCCAAGGCTGCTCTCCCTGCTGCTTTTTGGAGAGGTAGAAAATCAGCAGTTTTTTGCGCCCCCCCCCCCCAGGTGTTTGTGTGGGGTCTCTGTTGGACAGTGATCTCTTTGCTTTCCTCCTGAGCTCCAGGGAGAGGGCTGGCCTTTCCTGGAAAAGGCAGGCAGTGGTGGCTCAGATGGACAGCGCTGAGAGCTGATCTGGGAGGTACAGCAGTCTGTGCTTCTTGCAGGGTATTTTTTGCTGGAGCAGATCAAAGGCTGCATTGCACAAGCAGAGGATCATGGGCTGCAGTTCTGGCTCTAGGAGGGAGAGAGCATGAGGCTCAGAGAAGGAAGTTCGAAGTCTTTTCCATGATAAAATCCCAGGGCTAGTCATAAACTGGTTGACGCTGTTCTCAGTGAAGAACAATCAGTGCTTTGGGCAGCCTAGCTGCTGGAGCATGAACCCACATCCCCAAGGGCTGGTACAGCTACACTGAGGTTTGTGTTGCCCTTGTTATTTTGGAGCTAGTTTAACTCTGCCTAGCTGAGAATTGAATGTCTGCCTGCAGTAAAATCGTGTAATAGGCAGGTATTTGCCTTAGGAAGAAATCCTGGGGGCAAGAGAAACAGCAAAGGTACATTTCTACCCACCAGTCTGGAGCAGGTCTCGAGCATGAGATGAGTCACCTCAGAGCTGGGGCAGCATCCCCAGTGCTCAGCAGTGCCTGCAGCTGGGAGCGCCGGCCTCCCACGCCAAGCCAGCAGCTCTAGGCTAGGATCTCTGCAGCTTTCAGAGCTGTGAAGCACAGATCTGTGTGCAGCTGTGACAGACAGACACAAGACAGGGAAATTGGAAAGATGGGATGCTTTACTTTGCCAGTCTGAATATTTGAAGTTGCATCTTCCAGTCAGTGTCTTACTAACTCCCTAGAGCTTCCCCAAACCTTTTTATTCTATAATCATGTTATCTTCAGGCATTCTTCTTTTAATCAAAATGAATAAACTGATGAGAGTAATAATGCTTCCTTCTAGACTTTGAAGCCTGTTGCTCTGTAAATGAATTTCCCTAGGTATGGTGTGGCCAGTGTGTAATATAGCTGAATCTCTATTTGAATCCAGAGCAGCAATGTGGACATGATGTATGTGCCCTGGAAAGGGATGTATGTGCCCTGGAAAGTCTACAGGATTTGTATTACCTCAAGTCTTTCACCATCTACTGACGTATTGCTGGTTTTCTTTGCAAATGATCGCACACAGCCAAGCGGTGTTTGATCAGCCTGGTATTCAGTTCCTGTCGATGTCTTGTGCTGCATATTGTGAGCCTGTATGTACAGCTGGGCAAGTGTGTGAGAGGGATCTTGAGGGGAAATGCCATACAGACCCTGCCAGGTAGCCAGGGAGCTGTGTGCACCGTGCTCTGCATCCCGCGTGGAAGCTCAGCAGCAAAGGACACAATGAAAACAAACTCCAAGGAAACTGTTGTGATTAAACTGTCACAGTGGTATTAGCAATCCATCAAATTATTCAGATACTTAGGATTTTTCAGGCTGGGGCATAAAGTACAGCTAAAGAACACTATAGTCCATAAAATGTAAAAGTTCACTGTTAATGAAGTAAGGCAGAGCCCATAGAAACTGGTCATAAAAGCATTTCCCACTGTGTGTGATGTGGTTTGTAAAGCCTTTGCCCAACTTGGGGCTGACCCTGACCTTGATCTTGGAACAGCGTCACAGGAAAAGTCTCGACATGAGAATTCCCAGTTTCTGGTGTGCATTGGCAGCGTCCAAGCTCTCCTCTGGCGTCGTGTGTCTTTTCAGCCCAGTGAATGTCCTCCTTGTTTCTCTGGGGATGAGCAGCACAGAAACCCAGAATTCAGTCTTCATGTGGCCAAGGAAATCTCTGTGCAGCCCTGCGGGTGTTTCAGTCTCATCCAGGACAGCGATGGTCTTTGGGATTTGGCTCAGGACGTCCAGTTTCCAGGGCATGGAGTTTATGGTGTCGGGGAACTGTCTTTCCCAGCAAAATAAAAATGTTTGATTGTACTCAGCAGAGCTGAGCCACTGCTGTAGTTTCCGTACAGTTCATGGTCAGGCCTCTCTCCATGTTTGCCTATAAATTAACGTGTTGGTACAGAACGCAAGTGCTCGGCTCCAGGAGGCTGCATGCTCCTCACAAAATATTTCAGACCCTGTTTCCCTGCGAGAATTTACTTCAAAGGATTTTTTTTCTTTCTCGCTAATGCTGCTGTACAGTGTTGTGAAGTCACAGTTTTCATCTCTCACTGAATTTTTGAGCAGAAAGCACAGCGAATATGTGAGTAAGTTATGAGTCTGAGTGAGAGTCCTCTTGATCAACACCAACAGATTGTTTAATTAAAAAAAAAAGGCATCTTGATGGTATTTTACCAGTGCTGCAGATTTTTTACACAAAAATGAGTCTTTTTTTCTCCCTTTAATTTCTCAGAATCTCAGGAAAGCCTAGAGAAGTCTGAGAAGCGGAGGGAAAGATGGGAACAGAAACAATACAGGAAGAGAAGAATAAAGCAGCGTTCCATCAGCAAGGAGAAGTGGGTGGAAACGCTGGTGGTGGCAGACACCAAGATGATAGAATACCATGGCAGTGAGAACATCGAGAAGTACGTGCTGACTGTGATGAACATGGTGAGTCCTAATTTTCTCAGCTGCAGAGCTGCCAGGTCCCTGGAGATGCAGCTGATGAGACATAAGGGCCACTGGGCTTGCCACAGCTCATTCCTGGTGAGACCTCAGCAAATCTCTCACCAAACAGGCTGTTCCCACTCTCACGTTTGCTCTGCTGCATTATTAGTCCTCCATCTGCTTCAGGAGGGTGGTTTGCTGTGAGCGAGCCCTAGGCCAAAGTCTTGGTGCAGATGGGAGCAGCTCTCAGGCTGCATCAGTTTCACTTTCCGCATGGGGCTCGAGGGCTGTTCCCTTTCCTTTCTCCCGAGGGTGGTTAACGTGGCCTGCCAGGCAGATACTGCAAGAGCAGGACTCCTCCTCCCATACCTACTGCTTCAGGACAGAGAGGGGGCAGGTGCTGCCCGTGGCCACAGCATCACCACCACTGCTCTCTCTGGTCAGGCAAGCAGGCTGCTTGGGTGGGGAGGTGCAGCTGAAGTTGAAACCACTCTGAAGCCTGCGCTGGGGCCACCCACAGCCCCCTGCTTGATAAGAAGGCCACCTCACAGGAAAAGACCTGTATGGATGTGAGAGTTCTGGCTCAGGCTTCCTTGATCTCAGTGCTGGCAGTGCCAATAAGAGACACCCACAAAGGGAGCGCTGCAGGGCAGCTGCCATCGTGTTTTTCATCTCAGTTCCAAATGCTGCAGAGCCGGTGCCAGCCTGCCAGCGATGGCTGAGTGCACTAGTCTGGTTGGCAGAAATGTGAATGGCTTTCCTGGGAAGGTGCCACTGAGGGCAGCCGAGGGAAGGAGTAGAGCATAGATCTAGACTGTAGCTGAGGTGTTTTCCTGGCACTAAACCATGGGAGTATTTAGAGGTAAAACTTACAGGCAGGTTTTGAAAGCTAACTACTACTTGCATTGAAATTCCTTGGGTTTTCATTCTGCTCCTTAAACTCAGACTTTTCTGGAGGCATTGACTCATAACGAGGTGGTATGATGTGTTAATGAACTGACCTTGGACATCTGGAGTACCACTCTTAATGTTGCCTGGAGTCACAGAATCAGACTGGTTTAAGGTGAGAAGGGAACCCTGGAAGTGACCTGGCCCAGCCCCTGCTCATGCCAGGCCACCTTGAGCAGGACCACATCCAGGGTCATGTGTGAAGTCTCCTGGTGGTCTTGAAAATCCAGGGAGGTTTTGCTGAAGCCATAAGACAAGCAGATAAGTCAATGTGAGTTGGTATAATCTGTTTGCTCTCCAGCTGTTGCGGTAGCATCTGTTTGCATTTCAGAAGAAGTGTAGTTGATGGCTGTAAGAGAGGGTGGGATTGGGTAGAGGACCTCAGGGTATCATCCTGGATTTCCCGGTGTTGGTGAAGACACTGGGAGAGCGCTGGCTTTGAGGCGTTTAACACGTCTGTTAGGGAGTGAAAGTGGAGGTGGTCCCCCAGGCATTTCTGGTTGAGTTTCAGTGTGCTACATAGATAATATCAGTTTCCATTGTATTATGAATGCTTTAATCTGGGTCTACATCTGGTCTTGTCTTTTAGTTTTGGGAATTCCCCAACATGTTGAGATGTTGTCGACAACCTTCAGTAGCTTCCCTTTAAGCTCATGTTGCCTTGCAAATGTACTTACCAGGAGAACTGTCACAGGCAAGATGTTTGTTTTGGGCTTTATTTAGTTGACTTTTGTGCTTTGCAGGTGGCGGGGCTGTTCCACCACGCCAGCATTGGGAACCCCATCAACATTGCTATAGTGCGACTCATCCTGCTGGAGAATGAAGAGGTGAAAAGAAAACAAAATGACTCACACTTCCATTCTGGTAGCAAATTGGGATACACAGAGAGCTGGCCTCGAAAGCCTGTTAACTCTCTCATACACATTTTCCATGGATGGATTGTGTAAGATTAATACAGATTCCCATGCTTTACTTCCTAGTCTTCTGCATGGGCTGCAGGTCTGGTAAAGTTGGGAGGGTTATATGTCAGAGGAGCTGCGGATCATGATTCTTATAATCATTTGTAATTTAGCCACTGTGGTAGTTGGTAGGACCTTTCCTTTCGTCCTGTGACTGATGGGATGGTAGCCGGTACCACTGGCACTCAGCCTGTGGCAGCATCCCTTCAGACGTGGGGCAGGCGAGGCTCCAGGTCAGAGCTGCAAGGAATGGCCCGGCAGAGGCTGAGCAGCTGAAGCTCGCGGTGTCCCAGGAGCATTGCCTGCTGGTAGCACCAGCGGAAGCTGGGAGTTGGTGGTTGTTTGTGTTTCCCAGCTGCAGCAGTCGCTGCTCAGTCTGGCTGTGCAGCTGCATCCTTCTCTAAAGCACATCGCCCTGGATGGAGTATTTTCCTGCAGCGTTTCTTAACCCCTGATATCAGATGACTTCATGGTTCAGTTGAATCATTGATGGAAACAAACGACTATATTCTCATCCAGCCTACGGCTTCCAAAACGCAGAGCAATTCCATCTAGATGGCAGTTACTCCTGATCTTACTCTGATGGGATCAGATCCCCTGCACTGCATCCTAAAAACCAAACAGATCCAGTAACGGTATGACAACTGACTTTTAATTGTGTTGGCAGGAGGATCTGAAAATCTCCCACCATGCAGACAACACCTTGAAAAGCTTTTGCAAATGGCAGAAGAGCATTAATGTGAAAGGAGATTCCCATCCCTTGCATCATGATGTTGCAGTCCTGCTTACAAGGTATTGTGTCCTGGTTTTATGCTGTAGGTTTTACTCCACCACCTAGAAACTCCTCCAGTGGCAGCAGGCAGGTGGGACACAGACAGCTGCATACTTTAGTGGAAGCTGTTTAAATCTCACTCTCTGTACCTCAGACCTGTTTGGAAGCCTGCATATTCAATATATAACTTGAAATCTGAAAGTGGTCTGGCTCTAGTGGCTGGAACTGATGTCAGACCTCAGTTTTAAACCTGGAAACTGCTCTCAGTTTACCAGTAGTTGGAGTTTCCAAACCAGATTTTCACTGTGGCCATATTGGGAAGCCCTAGAATGGGTGTGCCTTGCAGCAGATGTACACAGGATCAGCTCTCCATTTTCTCTTGTAGATGAATTCCAGGATTTGTAAAGGAGGCTCAGAACAGGCCCTCACCTCCCGTGTAGCTGGGTGGAATTCTTGTCTCTGGCCAAATTTATATACCTTGCAGTCAGAATGTGGTTTGATGGTTTCATGCTGCAGCAGCTTGAATGTTGGCAGTATCGTGGTTGTTTGTGCAGTGATTCACAACCCACAACAGTTTTATCTTCCTTAGAAAATTTGCTTTGTAGTAGAAATAAGGCACTTAAGGGCACGTACTTTAATGGAGTTGTTCTTCCTGGGTGGCTGGAGCTCCCCTGCCCTAGACCACAACACCACTGGGATGTACTTCCCCAAGAAATGTAGTAATTGCTTAATTATTCCCAGCATCAACTTTATTTATACAATAGAATAAACGTAGCCAGTCTGGCTTGCAGTTTCCATTAATCAGGCTTTCTAATAAGCTGGGGATATTGAAAGAGTAAAGGGGAAAGGAAGAGTCGTAAATCTTTCTGTGTGGAAAGACATTTGGATGTCTCCATTCTTGCTTCTGTTTGGCCAGTGTTTGCTGGCCTTAGAGGCTTCCTGTTAGACTGGGACCACGGGGCAGGAGGGGCTTGCTTTGAGGCAGCTGTCCTCACTCAGTTTCACATCACCCTTTGGATCTTACTGTCTTCAACCCTCTTTTTAACTGTGTGTGTGTTGTTTTCAATCGCCCAAGGAAGGACATCTGCGCAGCAATGAACAGACCCTGTGAGACCCTGGGTCTGTCCCACGTGGCGGGGATGTGCCAGCCCCACAGGAGCTGCAACATCAATGAGGACACAGGGCTGCCCCTGGCCTTCACTGTGGCCCACGAGCTTGGACACAGGTACCCTGCCTTCCTTCTCCTTTCTGACCCCGTCCTCTGTATGGCTTAGTCAGGACCTGACAAGGGACAGATAAGAGGTGGAAGGACGTTGCTGAGAGTTCCCTGAATCTCAGGGAATGTACCCTGAGAAGCTGTTTCAGAGTTCGGCTTTTGGTTGCGCTGGATTCAAGGAACCCTTCACACATGACACGTTTGTGTACCCATGTTGCTGATACTAAAAGCTGTTGAGGAGAGGATTGTTCACTGAGAGGTTTTAAAATAGAGTCTATGTATAGCATCAGAGGCAGGATTTTTCTGATCTTGATTTCAACTGAACTTGAGAAAATCATTTGTACATCGTAGTCTGTATCTTTCTACAGTAAAAGCCTGTAACCAGCCAGTTTAATTAAACTGATTTTGTTCAATATTCTCACTACTTTGTTATTGGCTGAGTTGCCAGTAAGAGAGCTGAAGTAAAACTCCAGCGTAAAGTTTGTACATTGGGAAAAATTTCATGTAATGATTACACATTTTGAATTCATAGATCTTTTCAGTTAAATGCTAACCTCCGTGCTCTCTGCATGAAGCACAGTCCATTGGCTTTGTCACTTCAAAGCAATGACAAAAAGTCATTTGTTTACTCCAGGGCAATGAGCCTTAAGCTCGTGGGGCTGTTCCCCTGCTGGCTTATGTTCCCTGCTCGTGGTGTTGCAGCACACAGGGACTGGACAGAGCCCTGAGCACAGCAGTGTTTCTCAGCTTACTGAGTGGCCTCTTGTTTACCACTGCTGGGCATGGGAGCTCATCAAGGGCATGGTGTTCTCTTACCTGTGGAGCAACAGAATCCCACCTGAGCCCTTGCAAGATGCGTGCTGAGAGGATGTCTGGCTCTCCTTGTCCGTAACATATGGGACAAAGCTTGTGACAGCATCTGTGGTCCCACTGGAATTTCCCAGATAGCTAAGTGCTCCCTGTTAATTAATGTGTCTCCATAAAGTTGCAAATGCTTGTAGTGTCTGGTATAGTGTGTCAGAAAGCAGAGAAGCTGCGCGGTTGTAGCAGGCGTGTGGCTCACCTCTCCTTTGTGGGACTGTGCTCTTACACAGTTTTGGGATTCAGCATGATGGAAGCAGCAATGACTGTGAGCCAGTTGGGAAAAGACCTTTCATCATGTCTCCACAGCTCCTGTATGACACGTCCCCGCTCACCTGGTCCCGCTGCAGCCGGGAGTACATCACACGGTTCCTCGAGTAAGTCCTTGCTGCTTCTTCTCATTCGTTTGCATCGGTGCTCGGGGCTGAGCTGGCTGCATGAGTTGTGGCTGGGTTGAGCTTTGGGGTCTGCAAGATACTTTCTGGTTTCAGAAGTCACCCTTGACTCAATGGTATTTCTAATTTGCTCTTTTGGCTCAGTCCTTGCTGTATTTGAATGTAAAAGCACCTTTGTGCAGGGACACAGTGGTTGTTGTTTGAATAAATAAAGCCAGAGCATTTTTCTTCATTGACTTAGCTGGTGGGATTTCCAAAGCATGGCTGCCCCAGCAGCAGAACGCTGGAGCTGGCTGTGCTCCTTTCTGCCCCATTGTCAGCCACATGTTGCTTGCACCAGCCTAACAGATAAGTGTGCAGTTGGAAGCACATTACTGTGTCCAGGCTGCTGAGCAGAAGGAGCAATTTTCCGTAGCACATGGGATTTGTACCTCTTACTGCACCCCTGATCTTGCTTTCCACTCCTCCTAGCAGCAAGGTTCTGCCTGGGGCAAACGTGATGTTTGCCTAGAGATGGGAGGCACCATGTGAGGAGATGAGATCAAGCCAGATTCTTTCATGCATTTGTTTATTTTTAGTGCCCTGTGGCTGTTGTTATTAAATTCTTAGGAACGTGGCCCAAGACTTATATTTGTCAGCCAGTCTCCAGCACCAGAGGGATGTTTTCCTTTCTTGCCATGAGAAGATTAGGAAACAGTGAGAGCATCTTTAAGAAACAGCAATAGAAAAGCTCTGGCTACAGCCAGTGTGTTTGTGAGGGGCTGGGAGCTGCATATTAGGAATACTGGGTGGTGCTGAGCTCCCATTTCTAAATTCCAGCCAGTGGCCTAAAACATGGGCTTGGCTCCAGCTAGAGTGAATTATTGTTGATTTGTGGCTTTCAGCGGAATGAGTCTTTCTTGCTCCACAGAGCTCTTGGCCTTTTGTTTTTAACCTTTGTTTTGAGATGTAGCATTTCCTGCTGGTGGTAACCTTGGGCTGCCATTAGCCCAGGGAAGAAGCAGACCATCTGGCTGCCTGTCCAGTGGTGTTTTCATCTCTTTGCTCCACTCCCAGAAGGGGCAGCTCTTTCTTGAGGAGTGGAGCAGAGTTCAGCAGGCACCTCTCAGCATCTGTGACATCCCAGAGGCGAAGGAGAGGCCTGCTGCGAGCACAGACATGAGTGCATTTTAATACAGTGTTGGCAGGAGAATGGGAAGGAATGAGCCAAAAAATGAGACCCTCCTGACCTGGGATTGTTAGATGTGCTTGGAACAGACTCATGTCAAAAAAAAACCAACACAACACTCTCAGATTATGGTTATTGTTTTACAAAACAGAGTGAACACTGGTGAGCGTTTAAGAATCAGAAAATGATTTGTGTCTCTGATGGCAGCACAGCTCCAGTGCTGTGGTCGTGCACAGGGCTCTGTGATCTTCGAGGCAGCGGCTTTGGGTGGGAAGAAGCTGAAGGGCCTCTCTCCTCTGCATCCCTCACCTTGATGTGAGCTCTTTTAAGCCTGGCTGGTGGAAGAATTATGTATCTCAATGCTCTGCAAAGACCATAAATATGCAGTGGTGTGGATAACCCTGCCTTCATCCCACTGCTGCTGATTGTCATGTTTCCCTTCAGTCTTTCCTTCTCTAGACAAGACAATTCATTTCTCAGCCTGTTTTTGCAGAGCTGAAGGTCTTCCTCCATCGTCTTCTCATGGGCTCTTTCTAGCTGACCCCCACCACTTGGAGCCTGGCTGGTCTGCTCCTGCAGCACCCACTACTGCCCCTGCCACTAGCACCAGCTCTTCTACAGCAATGCTCTTCTCCAGTCATTCCAACTCCTCTGTTTGTGCAGCTGATTCCTCCCAAGTTTAAATCCTTGCCTTTGTTTTTATTGTATTCAGTCCTGTTTTTTTGGATCCTTCTTCCAGTTCTGCAAGAGCTTTTGGAATTTTAATCCTGCTTGCGAGCGTATTTGCAGATCCTCCCAGCCCACTGGCATATGGGGATCTAATCAACATCTATCTATTCCGTCACGCAGCTCTTTAAGGAGCAGACTGAAATAGGCAAATGCAAAGCAGACCCCTGTGAATTTTTACTGCTGTGTGGGTCACTGTACATCCCTTCAAAGCCAGATTAAACTCATGCCAATTCTTGCTGGCTCAGTTAAGTTTATTTTGCAAAATCTGGAGGCCAGTTGAAGATATCAGTAGGACAGCTGTAAAGTGGTTGATGAAGAAATAGATTTTGAGCATAACTCTAGAGATCTAAACTATCCCATATGGGGACTGCAGAGATCTCCTGTAAACTGAGGCAAGACAAAAAGTGCCTTCAGAGAACAGAGGGCTCTGGGCATTTTTGGGGTGGTGTCAAGCCCCATATGCTGTTGCCAGAATGGATGATTGTGGATTAATCCAAAGGAGTAGCACTTCCATTCATGCAGCTAGAGCAGGAGTCCAGTGCTTAAGCTTTGACTTTCCCAGCAAAGATGTAATCATTTCTAATTTTAGACAACATATGCTTCTTAAGTGAATTCTGTCAGTGTGCAAAGAAAAACCACTGGAGTTGCAGTGCAGGGACTTTGCTGTAGGCCTGAAACAGGCTTATAGCTTGAGGCTGGACATGGTACTGCATCCAGCTGCATAATTCACACCTAATTCAGTCCAGCTCAGGCCTGAATCACCCACAGCAGTCCTCCTCTCCAGGGGGCCAGAGGGAAGGCAGGATGCTCTCACTGCTGGACTTGGAAAGTGAGACTTTCCAGCTCATGGGCTGCTGAAAGCAATGTGTTTACTGATTTTTTTCAATGGAGAAATTACTTATAAAAACTATATATGTGGTATATTAAGGAGCTGTGTTCCCACTGGCTGTTTCTAGCCAAGCACGGGGCTGGCAGGTGCCTGGAGAGGACCTCTCCAATGCAGGATGTGAGAGGGGTGCTTGCTGTGACTCCCAGCCTCATTCACTGCTGCTCCTGAGCTGGGCTGTTTTGCCAGCTTGGGTTAGGAAGGAATCCTGTTCCACATTAATTTAGACCTGTTCCCAATCACAACAAGCTGCAGTAATCTAATCTGCTCAGAAACTCACGCTGGAGACTTTGCTTTGCTGGAAACATGTTAGTTTAAATCAACACTGTAAGCTAAACTAGTGACAATTTCTTGTGTGTTTGGGAAGTATCATAGCAAAACCACTCACAGCAGAGCAAGCCAGCCAGGATCATCCATCTTGGCTTCCCAGCAGCCTGGCAGTGGGCCACGGGTTGTCTTGGCTGAGCTTCATGCTCAGTTTTAATATCTCTTTCTAAAAACATGCTGTCCAGCACAGTCTGAGCACTGTTTGTAGCAGCAGATATGAGAGCGAGTGAGTTTTGCTGCTGACAATCTACTCTGTTTTTATTAGCAGGGCATTGACACTAGAGCTGAAGTGTCCACAGGGACGTTTTGGGGTTGGCCTGGTGTATGAACGCGAGGACAGCATCTGCTTCTCAGCAGTGCAGTGTTTGTTCAGTGAAACCCTTCACCTTGAGTAGTGAAACTGAGGACTGGACCCTGGGCTGAAGGCTTTGCTGATGACTTGATTGCAAAGCTAAAACCCAGGAGATTGGTCCCAGGCAAAGCAACAATTTGGCTGTTCGTCATGGAGTTCCAGGATGTGTTGGAGTGTCAGAGGATAGGTGGGCTGCAGTTGCAGACATCAGATCGCCCAACTCAGAAATTGGATAAGTGATCCACATGCAGAGATCCACATGCTGGAGCAGGTGCAGGGTTTGTTGGAGAGCCACGGTCATGTCAGCTATAGAATGAAAGTCAGGATTTCGGGATGAAACACTGATGAGATGCTTGGTTCCTCTGGTGGCAGCTGCAGCAGGGTGCATGGGACCTGCCTGCGCCGGCCGGGCAGTGGCAATGCCTTGTCACCTCTCTTTCAGCCGGGGCTGGGGGCTGTGCCTGGATGACCCCCCTGCTCAGGAGGTGCTGGACTTCCCCCTGGTGCCCCCGGGCGTTCTCTATGATGTGAGCCACCAGTGCCGCCTGCAGTATGGTGCCTACTCCACCTTCTGTGATGACATGGATGTAAGCCAGAGTCCCCCTCTCCCAATGTAGCATGGACTCGTACAGCTCTGAGGGTTCTTTGGGGGAGTGGGGGCTTTGCATGGGACGATCCTCTCCCTGTGAGTAAAATCTCTACCAGTGGGTTGGCTCTGCAGTAACCCCGTCCTGTGTGGTGAATGTTTCTTCTGCAGAGTGTCTGCAACACACTGTGGTGTACAGTGGGGACCACGTGCCATTCCAAGCTGGATGCTGCTGTTGATGGGACAACATGTGGGGAGAACAAGGTAAGAGGGAGCAGTCTCATTTGCAGGTGTAGAGATTCTTTATCCTGTATGTAAGAGATGATTTTTGCTGGCAAAGTGCAAAACCTGGCATTTTGCAAACTCCAGCACGTGGACAAGGATTACCTTGATGGCCTCACTCCAGCCAAATGTTGGTGGTGAGAGATTAAATTCAGGGAAATCAAGATGTCCCTAAAAAGATGAAACCTGCAGTTTGAATGGAAGCAGAAGCTGGCAGGGTTGTGTCCAGGGGTCTGTTCCCTCACACAAGTCCTCAGACAGCCTTATATACCTGAATTTCTCATTGCACAGAGCTCAACTTGGCTCCATCAGAGCTCAGCTGACCTCCAGTCACCCTGGAGTGAGTGTAGCATGGGTTTGCACAGGGCAATACGAGCGCTGGTCTTTAGCGCTCCCCGAAGGTAGAGCTCTCTAAGTAAAGGTTTATTAGTGCATCTTTATCTTGGTTTCTCTTCTTCTGGCCTGTCCCTTTGCAGTGGTGCTTCAATGGTGAGTGCGTGCCCGTGGGTTACCGTCCTGATGCTATCAATGGCAGCTGGGGGCCCTGGAGCTCATGGGCTGCCTGCTCGCGGAGCTGCGGTGCGGGTGTGCAGAGCGCCGAGAGGCAGTGCAGCAACCCCACGTAAGTGCATGTGTGCTCTCCTGGGTTTGTTCAGCCAGTGTGTGTAGGAGAGGAGCCCAAGGCTTCCTGATGGCTCCCTAAAGCAGGGGCCATCGCCTGGCATGTCTGGTCCTACCCATGTCTGCACTGGACAGCAGAGGACTGCTGCCATTATGCCGTTATCTTTCTGAACAAGATGCCTTTGAAACACCACAGACGATTCATTTCATGGGGTTATCCAGCTATCTGGGTGATGGCAGGCTCTGGAGGGGCAGAGCTGGCTCCGTCTGCTTCCATGCACAACTGCTGCTGCGCCAGGCAGACAGAGAGCACTGGAATGTGATTTCAACAAAGAGTAAAGACTCCACGCTTGTAGCTGTTACACATATCTGGTGTCTTTTAATGACCAAAAAGGAAAATAGACTTTTTGTGGTTCTGACTCACTCTCATTTTGAAAACACTCACTGCTGCTTATCAACTGTTTTCTCCCTGAGAGTGATTTCTAAGCAAGCTGAATGAGCTGCCGTAGTGAGGGACGCTCACTGCTCCCCAACTGAGGAGCAGCATTATCCATGCCGTGACCGCTGCGCTGACCCATCTGTCCTCCAGATGCCTCCCTCCTTGCCCAATTGCTATTGTATTGGATTCACACAAAGGCCCCCAACTCGTCCAAGTGTCACAGTGCCTCGTAACAGGGAGAGAAAGGGGCTTTGTGAGCAATTTTCCAGTGGCAGTCATTTTTCAATGGCTTAAGAAGATTTGAAAACTAAGAGGGAATCTCTCTAATGAGCCCAGATGTTCTTTCTGCCTAACTTCTTTGGGTGCATTGTTTTTAACACATACTATTGAACTGTTTAAAGAATAGCTGTGTAATCTCAGTGCTAGGTCAAGAGCTAGGTTTGTGTTTGACATGAGTTTTGTGACAGAAATGCAATTGTAGTTTATGGAGTGTTCCAAACACAGCTGCAGGCATGTTGGAGAGCAAACATTGTAAAAGCAGCAGAATTTCCCTGGGCAGTTGTTTGCTTTGGCCACGGTAGGTAAATCTTCAGCTTTGCCTTTTGGATGAAGTGAACAAATGTGTGCTCTGGTCCTTCCTCCCTCAGGCGTTTCCTAAGAAAAAGGTGTGTAAACACAACTGTAAAATAATAATTAATTATGCTCCTTGTGCCACTCTAAACTGATCAGGGAAAAAGTAGTTTTCATAAGGTCATGGGGATGTGGGATGCAGAAACTGCAAGTGACCAAAACAACCTGGCAGCAACCTGGTGAAACAGCAAGTGTTAAGAATCAGTGGCAGTATCTTGAGAGTCTGTTGGCATCCAAGAAAAGTCTGTTGTTGCTTTTTAAGTCCCTCTCACTTTATAAACGTTGGAAAGAATGATGTATTTTTAAAACTACTTTCCAAAGTAAGTAAGAATTTATCACCTTGTGTATACAGTGTTTCTGGCTGTTTCTGTCATTTAGGAATCACCAGCATGAAAAATCTAAAGCCTGAAGAAATGTGTTTCCTCTCAAGAGATGCCTTATGAGATTTCTTCATTCTGGGCAAGAATTCATCCTAGACCCATCCACAAGTCCCCCAGTTCTTGCTGGGTTGCATTACGCTGTAGAAACATCCAGGTCATCCAGCACAGGAAGCAAGACTGAGTGGGCCAGGGGGGGTTGTCAGAAGTCCTGGAACTGTGGCCACTTGCCATTTGATCAGGAGCTCTGTCTTGTTGGCCATTCAGCCCTGGCGTCCCTGCTTGGATCACCAACCCAGTCACAATCAGTCTGAGTTGCAGTTCTTCCAGATGAGACCGAGATTAGCTGGGAGGTGGCGAAGAAAGGGAGAGGACATCTGGAAGGTAGTTTGGAGATATGTTTGAAAAGCACCATCAGAGCATCCCCCCAACAGAAGCCTTTCAGGTGCTACCTTAAAACAGCTGCATCTCACTCAAAAGAAAAACCAAGTCTGGTAGTGGAAAGCTGGTTCTTGTGCGTAAGAGGTACTTCCCAGGGATGCTTTTGGAGAGAATAAAAGCAGCTGGGCTAGCTAAGCAATGCCTTCCAAGTCATGTAATTTTAGAGTTGAAAGTGATGTTTTAAGCCCCTGGGGAAGGGTCCAGCCTGTTTCATCTCCCAAAGCAGTTGCTTTCACACTGTGGGCAAGCAGAGTAGGAGCAATGCTTGTTCCATTGCCCAGAGCGTAGGAGTGTCCAGCAGCAAAATGGCTTTGGACACGAACACTACTTGTCACACCAGTTTTTATAGGTTCATAAACCAGGCCTATAGAGTTGGCCATAGTTGCAGCATTAAGGAAGCACTGTCAGGAGGGACAAGATGCTAGAGGAGCTGTGGACCTCAGCACCTTCACAAGAGATCTGCAAAAATGACTGCTTCACATCTTTCTTTTCACTTGGGTTGATCCTTTCTGAAACAAATGGGTGCCCTGGTAGCAACAAATCCAAACCCCCTTCTTGCAGTGCCTTAGCCTGACCACTGCAATGCTGTGCTAATGGCTGAGAGCAAGAAAGCAAATCTGGTCAGAAGCAAACTCAGACTGTGTTAGGCACCTCTCCTTGTCCAGGAGAAGAGAAATGAAAAAAATCAAACAGCAGCTGGACCAAAGCCATCTGTGCTTGGAATTCTGTCATCCTCCACCACCTGGGGAGCTGCTGTCACCATATCTTTGTTGTGCATTGCAGCCATATCTTAGCTGCAATGTCCAAGGCCTTTGTGCAGAGCTTGTGTCCTCTGTCCAGAAGGAATCTGAGGAGCAAGGACGTGGATGATGCTCTCTGTGCATTGCAGAAGCTTGCTCTGTAGGTTAGGGTTTATTACTATTAGAAGGGAATTTCCCCACCTAGGCTCTATGTGTTTATTTTCTTTTTTCCCTCCTGCAAACAGGCCAAAGTATGGGGGCAGGTACTGCCTGGGAGAGCGGAAACGATTCCGGATCTGCAACATCAAGCCCTGTCCTCCTAACAAGCCGTCCTTCCGCCAGGTCCAGTGCAGCCAGTTCAACCCCATGCTTTACAAGGGGAAGCTTTACAAGTGGACGCCAGTGCCTAACAACAGTGAGTGTGCACAGCCTGCAGCCAGGCCTCCCCTCAGCCCTCACAGAGAGCCTGAGACAGATTCTTGCAATGGCTTGATCTTGCTGGAGCTGCCTGTAAAAGTTTTGCCTTCCCTTTCTGCCGCACTTGCAGTGTATTTATGTGTATTTTAAATTATGGCTGGGTTTGCAGGATCAATTTTTATTGTCAGAGGTGGTTACAAGGAGAGAAGGTGATCCCTGCCTGTGTGAGCCCAGGGCAACACTGCTGTAGAAAAGCAGGCGAATGTAGGCGTGCACACCCCAGCTCCTGGGGTTCAGTTTCTGTCTCTTTGGCTTCCCAGTTAACCCCTGTGAGCTGCACTGCCGGCCGGAGGATGAATACTTTGCAGAAAAGCTGAGGGATGCCGTCATCGATGGGACCCCATGCTATGAAATGAACTCCAGCCGGGACATGTGCATCAACGGCATCTGCAAGGTACGTCTGCTGATGAGGGCGGGCTGGGAGCGGCCCTGTGTGCCAGGAGCTGCAGGCTGGGGCAGGGGCAGTTGTCAAGGCTCTGCCCGATGTCCTGAACGTATCACCTGATCCATTTTAGTACTATTTTTGTGTATGGAAATGAGGGAGAGCTCTCAATATTCACAAGATAGATGATGCGGGAGTGTTTAAGCCTCTTGCATGTTTTCAAGGAAGTAGAGAACCAAACTAAGGAAATGCAGGAAGAGCAGTTTCTCTTGCAAATGAGGCAAGATAAGAAGATAGGAAGGGAAGGTGGAGAGGGCACTTATCCCAGCCCTGCTGTTCTGGCAGATGCTGCTCTGACCTACAGCCTGCTGCAATGGAGATGTCTCCCCCGGCTGTGGTACCCTCTCCCATTGTTGGGGCTTGTCCTTCCTCCTGGGCTGTTGTTATTTCTTGGAAGCTCTGTAAAAATGAGTTGTGGGCCAGGGAGAGCACCTTCCCTGCAAGGAACCAGAAGGACCAGGGAGCAGAATGCTCATCTCCCTGCCTCTTCCATGGAGCTCTGAGGGCTGCTGAGGGTCTTTGTGCTCTGAACAGCACAAAGAGAAGCAAGCAAAAATAATCAGTAATCAAGTTTCCTTGCATCCTCTTGCAGAAGAGCCATTCGTGGAAGCTTCTTCCTCTTCCTGGCTGTGCTGCTGGCAGTACCAGGTATAGGCCAATGGCAATTGCTCTGCACAGCAGGAGGCTCTGAAAAGGTCCTGTTTCCTCCTTTAATAGGCTATAAGTTACTTCAGAGGTTGCAGCACACATGCACAGGCACAGGCTCAGAGAGCTCAGGTCATGGTTTTTACTTGGCACATAGAAAAGAGATCCAGCAGTTCTCCACAGATGACAGCATATTCCCTAAAAGATGATTGCACACATGAAATGCTTGCTGACTGCAAGCGTGTTGCTGGCTCCGTCACCAGAGTTAAGCCTGGCTTTCAACAAAACATTGCAGTAGCAAAAATAGTGCTCCTTTTCTAGTGTGTATATGCAAGTGACTCCCTGGATAAGTCCTTGTGGAACTAAGACTAAAGGTTCCTCATTGGCACAGGACCCAGTGGGACCTCTGGGGAGTTGGCTGCAGCTTTTATTGTACAGTGTCAGATGGAATCGCAGTTTGGTCAAGTGATTTGGCAGCTGCCTGGGTCTGAAGTGTGGAGAGCTCCAGCAGAATTTAGGAAAGGTTTTGGGGAGGTCCTTGCCCCAGACTGGCAGGGCCAAGGGCCAAGAGGCTTGCCTGGCTAGGCACAGGCTGCAGAACAAGGCAGGGAAAGCTGACAGCAAGATGTGGATCTGACTTTTCATAATGGTCTGAACAGGATGGCCAGGCTGCAGGCAAGAAAGCCATTTTAACAGCTGACTGGGATGTATCACCATCCATCCTGCAAAAAGACTCCAGCTCATGCCAATCTCCTATCTGTTGTTCTTATTTCTTGCCATTCAGGAGCATCATCTGTCCACTGAGGGTGGCCCTCATTACTGTGGTTGTTTTCCACTTTTGACTGCTCGTGTTGTACTGAAATCCTGGGTGGGTGTAAATGGGTGCAGGCACGAGGCCTGGGCTGATGGGGCTGTGTTACAGAACGTGGGCTGCGACTATGAGATCGACTCCAACGCAGTGGAAGATCGGTGCGGTGTCTGCCACGGGGATGGCTCCACCTGCCACACTGTTAAGAAGACATTTGAGGACAGCGAGGGACTGGGTAAGGACACGTGGCATTCTCCTTAAGGCAAGACACACCTAACTGAGAAGGATGTGCAGCGTGCTCCTGGCTGTCAGTAGCTGCAGCTTCCCCAGGCACCAAACATTTTGTTGCGAAGTGGTGGGGTGAGCAGAACAGCTTCCAGCTGCTGGGGGGGAGAAAAATGAGTTGTTTTAAATGGCTTCCTTAAAACAAGCCGCCCTGGTCTGCAGAACTCATTTTTCCTTGATCAGCAGAGCAGGGTGAAGGTGTTTTGCAGACAAGACCCCATGGATCCCATGGCTGCAGGGACTTTGTGGGAGGCAGCACTCAGAGAAGGGGGATGACTGTGCAAGAGCCATTGCTGCTCCAGCCTGGAAAGTGCTGTGTGGGAAACCAGGAGACACAGGGCTTCATTTCTGTGTGTTCAGCTAGAGTGGCACTAATTGGTTGGCTCACTCATGCTGCTCATTTGCAGTCTTTTATTAGTCCAGACTTGCTGATTTTTATAAGGTCTAAGAAGTAACAAAGGAGATGAAGAGTTGTCTTTCCATTTCTTGCCTCTTGCAAGAAAAATATTCCTTTACTGCTCTTTGTGTCTAATGACCTCAAAACAAATGTCTGTGGCACTGTCTCCACACCCTAGGGAGCTGATCTTGTCCTTGACTCCCTGGAGCAAATGCTCGATTGTATTCACAGGTTATGTTGATATTGGGATTATCCCTGTTGGAGCCCGAGAGATCCGGATTGAAGAAGTCGCAGAAGCTGGAAATTTTCTGGCGCTGAGGAGTGAAGACCCAGAGAAGTATTTCCTGAACGGTGGCTGGACCATCCAGTGGAACGGGGATTACAGGGTGGCAGGGACCACTTTCACCTATGAGAGGACGGGAAACTGGGAGAACCTCACCTCTCCAGGGCCCACTGTGGAACCTGTGTGGATCCAGGTATGCTCTGGGTTCTGGGCAATTGGGGTTTGCAGCTGGGAAGGGTGAGGAGGAAGAGCCAGGAGCTTCCCTTGTGCTGCTGAGGTGACTTCATGGCCATCCATGAAGGATGATGAGGCTGGGTGTCTCCTCCCTGTGCATGTTTCTTCATCTTAGGCAGCCAAATGTGCGCTGCTGGCCCAGGAAGCATGTTTCTGAACTTGGGGTGGGTCTGCTGCTTCCAGCTGAGCCTCATCCAGCTTGCAGCATTCCTCAAAATATTTACTGAGGAGAGAGAGTGTAAAAAGAAATAGCTGGTTTCCGGAGCCTTTTCCATATCTTATCAAGAACAAGAGAAGAGCCCATGGTGTTTCCGGCAGGGCTGGACAGCCCATGAGTCTGAGTGGAGGTGGTGGAGGCATCAGGGAGCTGGGAGCTGCCACGTTCCTGCCACCATTGGGCTCCCGTGCACCAGCTGGGGTCTGGGCAAGGGTTTGTACTCCTCAGGGGATGCACAGGCAGGTCCAAAGCCTGAGTGATGCCTTCGAGGTTTTTGCAAGTCAGGCTTTGCTTCCTCACAAAAGCACTGGAGGGAAAAAATTCAAGAGGAATCTTTGAAACCTTCTGAATTAACAAGAAATCCCAAACTTCACTCTTTTTGCCATGTGAGAATTTCTGTTCCCAGTTCACACTTGGTGTCTTGGGAACGCTTCTTACAAAAGCCAGGTGCTGCTCCATAACTTGCCTAAGCAGCGCAGCTCTGGTACTTAGCTTATTGTCTTGCAAACCCATCCTATTCTATTAATTTTTGCCTTATTTCCACCGAAGAGCTGCCAAGGGGAGGGTTATACAATCTGCAGTGTGTTTTCCTTTAAATTGCACTGAACAGGCCATAGGAATGAATAAAGCTTCAACCCTGGGGGTTTGCTTCACGATTGTGGTTTAATCTCGTTTTTTCCCTTTTAGCCACCTTCTGATAAACGAAGGAAGAGAGATCTCCCGAGTGCACTGCTTTAATTAGTGCAGCAGCAGGAGGAAATCAGGGGTTCTCACTGTGCTGCAACCCAGGCTTGCAGAGCTGTGCAGGGAAGAGGATGCTGGGAACATGGGGCTCAGCATTTTGCAGAGCCAGGTTCATGGCTTGTTTCTCCCAGGTGTGCATTCTCCTGAGTGGCTTCCCTGGGGCAGAGGCAGGATGGCCCTGGATTTGTGACCCCACAGTCCCTGGCTCACCGTGCAGCCATGGCGTGGCCAAAAGTCTTTGCCTTTTGCATTTGTGTTTCTGCCTCCAAGCATTGCTTTACTCTGCTAATATCAACACTGGCATATTCAACACCAGCAAATTGCTGGGACTCTTTCTGGGATTCATAACCTAATTAAAACCTTTTGACAGAAATGTTTCAATATTCATGAAGAGGTTTTGGAAAGATGCCCTTGCTCCCGCCAAAGCTCCAAGAACAACAAAGCTCTGGCAATAATGGGAGCACTTAGGCTAAAAAAAACACGTTTAAACTCACAGCCTTTTGTGAGTGCTGACTGCTGCTGGAGGCACTTAGGGCAGGGCTTGCATTAACCATAGGAGCAGCCTCGTTCATTTGGAGAGCAGTGAGAGCCATGTTTCAAGTGGGGAGAAATTGATGATTCTTTCCAACGCCTGTTACCAGCTAGCCACCGAGTGTTTGCTGCCTGTTGATTCTTCACTGTTGCCTCCAGCCCTTCTCACAGCACAGCAGTTGCAGTGTTGCACCACAGGGAGGGTGCGACCCCCAGCCACTCTGCGTGATGTGCATGGTGCATACCAGTCTGCATCCCTGGCATGGTCAAATCACTGACGTTCACAGCAGGCTGCAGATGTGAACAGGGGCTGGATACCCATGATTTCCAGCTGTGCTGAGGGCTGCTGCAGTGTGATGTCATTGAAGGCAGCAGGCAGTGCTGCAGTCCTTGCAGGGAGATGTTGGTGCACCGTGCGCCATGCTGGGCTCAGCGGTGGCATGCAAAACTTCCCCATCCTGCTCTGCCTAGGACAGGTGACAGCAGGGCCCTTCACAGGGAAGGTCCAAGCCATGCTGAGCCTTGAGGAGGTCTTTGGATGCAGCTGCATTTGGCAGTGAGACCAGTGAGGATTAACAGGAGGATCCTTCCAGACTCTTTGGCAGAGACATAAAACTGAAGCTGTGGCAATTCTCAGCGCTCTTGCTGTTACTTTTTATTATTACCTAATGTTTCCACAAGCCCAGTACTCTCAGCGGGGTCAGCTGGGGCATTTCCTCTTCTCTTACACACTTTGACTACATGCTAAATACTGTTTCTGGAATGGTTGCGTGCTGCTGTTGGAGTGCAGCAGCAGCTCGACCATTGCTGTCCATGGCCAACAGTGAGGGGACAAACACTGCACTGGTACGGAGCTGGACAGAGTGACACCTGCGTGGCTGTGCCGGGGGGTTCCTGCCTCCTTGAAAACCCCTGCAAGGCAGCAGTCAGACGCTGCACCAACCGTGTCTCTCACCTCCTCTTGTCTCCCCACAGCTGTTGTTCCAGGAAACCAACCCTGGTGTGCGCTACCAGTACACCATCCAGCGGCCAGCTGACAGCGAGAACGAGATCGAGCGCGCTGAGTTCCTGTGGCGCTTCGGCTCCTGGACCGCGTGCACAGCCACGTGTGGCACCGGTGAGTCTGGCAAAGCATCCCCGTATTGCAGGGCCTGGCCCGTCAGTCCTTGCTGCTTCTTCTGTCATCCTTGATCTCCTTCTCATTGCAGACAGTGCAAATGCTGGCAGGATTTTGTAGTACAGGGAGCCAAAGGGACCACTGTCCTAGTGCCACACCGTGCATCACGGCAGGTGTTTGAGAAGCAGTGGTGGCAAGAGCTGCACATGCTCTGGGCCACGTTCCCCATCACATCAGAGCACATTGCTCACATTTGCCTTAGAAATTCCTGGGTCTTTGGTTTCAGTAGGTCTTGGAGAGAAAAAAAAAAAGGCAGCATCTGCTGAGGTTGTAACTCCTCAGTGCCCCCATCTGCACTCAGCCACAGGGAGCCCACTCTTTATCAGCACTTTCCTCAGCTCGGTGTCCTGTTACTGTGCCGGGTGTTCCTGGGCTGTCGGGTTGGTTGAGACAAAAGAGCTTTGAGAAATCAAAGTGTCAGATGGCCGGTCTGCAGCCTGGCCGGGCCTCTGGAGGGGAGATTATTTCAGGAGCTTTACAGAGAGCTCTGCAGAGAGCACTTCAGAGGGTGTTGGTGGGCGCAGAACATCACAGTCAGGGCTGCGGCCAGCAGCCCCAGGGTGCACGGGACGCCACATCTGATGTCTCCTCCTCCCCACCACATCCCAAGCATCCCAGGCCCCATGAGACGGGAGGCTTTCGAGGGATGTGTGTGTGAGCATGTGTGGTCATTTGCTCTCACGGCATTCCGCAGAACTGACAGCAGTGAGTGTTTTCACTTTACATTGTAAATAGACATCAGAAGGATCCAGTCTCTCTCTCTCTGTCTCTCAAGCCTTTTGGCTTTCTCCCGAGCTGAACATTCTCTGCGGCAGTGCAGGGCTGAGCATAGCACCCATGGGGAGGGGTGGGTCCTGCACGTGGCACAGAGCAAGGCTGGGAGCAGCAAGCACTTCCTCGAGAGCAGCTGCGCAGCAGGTCTGGGTAAGAGTTAAAAGGAAAAAAGAAGGATCCCTTTGTGTGAAAAGTGAAGAGACTTCACAAACACTCATCCATTTTAGGCAGTACTGAGAGCCAGGAGATATTTCCTGCCTTCTCCTGGAAGAAAGGGGTTTTTTTCCTGCCTTGAAGCAGGAGAGATGTGGAGCTGCATGAATTTGTTGGCCTTTTTATGTATTTTTGCTACAAGAACCCTTTGCTGTGGATTTGCATGGGTGCCCATGACATGCTGCTCTGCAGCCTGTGCTGTCAAAAGAAGATAGCAAAGTCACTTTCTTTTATTTAAAACCAGCACTCCATTGCATGGCTTAGTTCATAGCTTCCAAAACAGAATGGAAATACAGGAGTAAATGAGGCAGGAGTTGGCTGATGAGGACACTCACTCTATTGGAATCATTCCCAGAGCTGAGATATTTGAGATTTGGGAGAGCCCTGCAAACCCTGTACACATTCAGAAGTCTCTGAGCACTGGAGCTACAGCACTGGGAGCTCCCCCAGCAGAACTCAGCAGCCCCGTCACCACTCAGCTGGTCACTGTTATTTGCAGCTCTCTCAAGTCACGGGTCAAGTATGTATTGCAAAAAGCAGGACAAAGGCTGATAGCAAAGCAGCGTGGTGGAAGTGAGGTCATCCTGCACAATGGCACCTGTGAGTGCTGCAGAACAGGGGCAGGAGGTGTCAGGGTGCAGAGGCTAGGAGCAGAACTGGGAAAGACCCATGGAAATTCTTGGCTTTTCTTGGGGTATTTCCTGACATCTTTGTGCCCTGAAAGAGCAGGTAGAATCTGACACTTTTATTTTTATTTTTTTTAAGTAAGCACGAAATTTGCCAAACCTTTCTGCAGCCTGTTTGAAGCTTTCTGCTTGAGCAGCCCTGGCCTCGATCCCAGGACAGGATCAGTGGTTTGCCTCGTGCCGGACTGGCAGATCACACCTCCTCAAGCCCTGGGAGGTGCTTTGGCTGCTGTCCTCTGCTTCTGATGCCCAGGGTCCTCTGTGCTGGTTGCACAGTGGTGGTAACCTCCATGCAGCCTAGACTGTCCCAGCTGGTGCAGCTCCACATTCAGAATCATTTTCCAGCACAGTTATGTTTCCTAGCTCTAATCATACATGTATCATGTATCTGGTGTCTAGCTCTCCTTTTCCCAGCTGGGCACAATGGGAGTGCTGCTGTGGTTGGCAGCATGTGGGGAACATGAAAAGTGGGCTCTCAAGTTTCAGGTTCAGTTTAAGTGGAGGTTTAATATTCTTCTGGTTTTGGTGTCTGAAGGCAATGGCATGGCCTCCTGCTGCTTGCTGTTAGAGATGTTCAGTGCTCTGAATTGAGTTCTGTGGAGAGCCAAGCCTTGTCTGTGTCCCCAGGGGTGCAGAGGCAGATTGTGCACTGCGTGGAAAAGCTGGCTGGCATTGTGGAGGAGCACTACTGTGACACACTGACACGGCCTGATGACCAGCAAAGGACGTGCAATGAGGAGCCCTGCCCAGCAAGGTCTGTTGTCTCTTCTATTGCTCTTTCTCAACATACCCTTGTTGCCCAAGCAATCCTAGCAGGGGCAGGGGGCAGATCCTGCCTGGTGGGCGCTGACTGCAGCATTTTCTCCTTTATTTTCCCCCAGGTGGTGGGTTGGTGAGTGGCAAAAGTGCTCAGCTACATGTGGGACATCAGGGTTGATGAAGAGGACGGTGCTCTGCATCCAGAGTGTGGGATTGGACGAGCAGAGAGCTTTGCAGCAAGCGGATTGCCAGCACCTCTCCAAACCAGAAGCCACTGCTCCCTGCCATCGGGATGTCCCCTGTCCCTCTCAGTGGGCTATGGGGAACTGGTCAGAGGTGAGACACATCACAGGGGTGGTTGCAGTTTCCTGCAAAGCTGGCAGAAGCACACATCATGTACCACCAGGATGTCCTGCAGCAGGCAGGGGCACGCCTGGCTACAGGGCAAAGTGGTTCTGGAGTGTGCATGCAATATCAGATCTCTCACAAAGGAATTTTGTGATACAGGAAGATCTCAGTAAGGAAGAAGCACCAGGATGTCTGACTGTTTCATTCTCATATGAGTTATGCTGCTTTCTCCATCAAGAGCAAGGCCATGCTCCACGCTTGATGCAAGAAAGGCAGAAACAGGAGATACTGAAGCCTTCAGTGTGCAAATCTTTCCCCTTTGTTTTGGCAGAAGCCTTAAAAACATTTCGTGCTTGCAGAGGCAAGGTGCTGCAGGCCAGCCGGGGGCCCAGCTGTGCCATGCACGTGTCTGTAGGTGGATGGACATCTGCTCTGCATCCACACATGTTGGCTATGTGGCTGCCTTGCCTTTGCTGCCAGGCTGCCCTGGGGAGTTTTACAGCAATATACTTAAAAAAAGAGAGGAGTATAAAAGCTGTGTTCAGTGGGCACTCTGTGTAGCCTTATTTTTATTTTTGTGGTTGAGGTTTTTTAACCAAAGAGGCATAACTCCTAATTTGAGCGTTGGTTTCAGAAAGTGTTTGGTGTAAAGAAAAGTATCAGGAGGCAAATCAGAGCCTGGGAACGGAGCCTGTTGCTAAGAAACAAACAGAATAAAAATGTGAACAGAAAATTTGAAGGCTAAATGAGAGCTATTTAGAAATATTTTTCTAGAGGCCCACAAAAGCCACAATAGTACGGTTGAGAAAGAAAGCTGCAATAGTTTAAAGGAAAAATCTTGAATTCCAAGTTGCCCGGAGGTCTGTGCTATGTATTGAGCCAGCACAGGCTGTCACAATGCTCCTCTTTGGCTTTGCCATCTATGCATCTGTGAAGCCATGAAAACGAGCTTGAGATTTTAATATGTCTGTAACTTTTCTGTTCTTCTTAAAGTGAGAGTTCTCTTTCTTCTACATTGCCACCACCACCAATAAGCAGGGAAATGTGAGAGGCTGGGAAGCTTTCCAGAAACCTGGTTCACCTAGCCATAAAAAGGGATAATAAGAGGGGGTTCAGTGCTTTTGTATATTTGCAAACCCTGGTGCATGCTTGCAGAAGCACATCCCAGTCAGCAGCTTGGCACAGTGGTGCCTCCTGCAGTCCTGTGCTAGGGGCCAAACTTTCCTACCAATGCTTGTTCCCCCTGTGCAGCTACTAACAGCAGTGGTTTCTTATCTGTGCCTCAGGGGCTTGCTTGATAACTGAGGCTTGGCAAATAACCCTCTTCCTTTCTGCTTTGAGAGCTGTGATTTCTGGAGCTTATCTCCTGGATGGAGCTGGAGCCATTTGCTAAGAACTTTTAGCTCTGGGGTGAGCTGTGCTTCCCCTGATCTGGCAGTGCTGTCCTGGAGGGGTGAGGTAGCTTGCTTGCACCCTGCTGCAGAGGCAGACAAGTGGAAATGCTGCATTTCAGTGACACTGTGTGGAGGGTGGAAGTGCCCCGTGATGGCCATGCAGTTTTATGAACCCTGCCTTGTGCCAGGCACATTCCTTAGGATCACTCCCACTCCTCAGCATTTCCCAGGAGATTCATAAATAGGGGATCGTGTCCAGTACAGGGGCAGCACCTCTCAGGGCAGCCAAGGGACGTGGCCCACAGAGTGACACACATCTGACCGAGGGGGACACATCCCATGTGGGGCACCTTCTGGGAGCCCACCAGCACCAGAGCAGGGAGTGTTAGGGGTCCCATCTGGGCGCTGGGCCCTTGCAAGGGCTGAGCAAACACAAGAAAGGCTCAAAATAGACAAGTATAAATTATTTGAGAACCACATCTCCAGGCCAGCCCAGCCCTGAGGCTCTGCAGGTACCCTGAGGGCTCTCTGCCCACCTTGCACTCACCTTCGAGTGCTGGTGGCTGTGCATCCACCTCCACCTCTCAGCCCATCTGTTTTCATCCTGAGAACAGCAACTTTTGCAGAAATCCCCTCTGTTGGATTTGTTTGACTTGGAGATTATTTGTTCTTGCTGGCTGCATTGTGTGAGGCATGCTGCTGTATGTGACTAATGCTCTGTGCATCTGCTGTAGCAAACTGCAGCAGCCTGTGGCTTGAGCAGCCCACATGTGATGTTAGTAGCGCTACAGTTTACTTCTCTTGCAGAAAATATTGCTGTCTCTCTTTGCAGATTGTGGGCTCTTTCATACTGAGCAATCTCAAAGGGACTATTATGGTGGAGGAGGGGGTGTCCTCTACAAAGCTGCTTATTGACCCTTGCTTTTTTCTTTCACTTACTGGGACAACACCCATGTTATTATTCCCTTCTTTAAGAAATGCTTTTCCAGAAGAGATGTAATTCGTGGCGATAGGTCGCAAAGAAAGGACCTATTAGATCATCCAGCCCAAAGCCCTTCACAGTGTCTATCTCCAGGGAAAATCATTTCTATCTGGAGTGCAGGTCAAGGATCACCCTGTGCAAAATGCCCTGCTGTGTGTGCCTTCCTAAGGCGGTCTGTAGTGGAGAGACAGCCCCAGTGCTTGACTCAGCCAGCAGCCGTGCTGATGCCCCCACACCACCATGGGATGTGCAGAATGCAGGGCCGCAGCAGGAGTCAGCGTACCCAGCTGTTTGGTCACAGAGGCAGAGCCCTTTGCCCTCTGCCCAAACTGCACTGTTTTCTCACCATCCTACAACTCCTGTGCTCTTGTCTCTGAAATTTCTGTTCCTCTTCCTTTCCTAGTGCTCAGCAACATGTGGGAATGGAACACAAAGACGCCCTGTTTACTGCAGCAATAATACTCAAGCAACTTGTGACCCTGCACAGAGACCCAGCTCGGAAACTATTTGCTCCTTGCCACGGTGCCAGAAGAAATTAGACAACGCCAACACTGACTGGTCTGGCAGCGGCTCTTCCAGCAGAGAGATTTTTAATGAAATAAATTACATTCCAAATAACCATATTCCCCAATTTAACCCCGTAATTCCAAATATCCCCGAGTCCAATGATGTCAATATCATAACTGAGGATGACTTCTCAACCAGAAAGGGAAATTTCTTTGTTGATGATTTTTACTACGATTACAATTTTATCAACTTTCATGAGGATCTGTCATACTACCCCTTCACTGAGAAGGAGACCAAAAGCGAGGGCCCTAAGCCAGAGTGGAACAGCAACAATGTGGAGGAGTCTCCTGAGATGCCCGTGGATGTCCTGCACACCAGGAAGCTGGGAGGAGAACATGAGGAAGATCCGGTGAAGGAAACCGAAGCAAATGCTTCTGCTCCTGTGCATGGCAAAGAGGAGACTGAGTCAGGGGGTTTGGTCTTTAACAACCTATTTGATGTGTTCTCTGAGGGTGAAGAAATGGGGACAGCCACTCCCAGTACTGCTGCTCCTGCTCTCACAAGGAATGAGGGGGAAGAACTGCCTGTGCCCTATTCCGAGGGTCCACTGCCCACCCAGCCCGCAGTGAGTCATGGCTCCACCAGCAGCCTGCTGCTCCCCAGGCTATCCCTGGGTGCTACACTGGTGGGCACCAGTCCTGCATGGGATGCTCCAGCTCACAGCCTTGATTCCTGGGCCCTGACCAGTCCCTCTACACCGCTGCCCGTTGACAGGGACAGCCCCGGTGCAGGCGGTACACCTAACGGTCTGCAGCCTGTGGGAGAGCCTGCAAACAGAGTCCAGGACCGTGCAAGCACAGTGGCTCCTGATAGTGCAGGCCGTAAAAACTCAAGGGAAATGGGATTTGTCATCACTGGTGATAATAATAGCGCTGCCTCAAAGACCAAGGAGCAGGAAGAGTGGGCAGAAATACCAGCACTGGAGGGGACTGCACACACGCATGCAGCACCGGTGACTGAAGAGCAGCTGCGTGTGACAGATAGGGTGGCTCCAAAGTCCCCCACTGCACAGAGCCCACAGCAGGAGATGGGAAGGCATGCAGAAGGTCCCGGTGAGAGCCCCCATCCTGCAGATGCCACCATGGGCCCTGGAGGAGAGGCAGGGCAGCAGCCAGGAAACCACATCCATCTGTCTCTGATGTTGGTTCCCTTGGTGGCCACCACAACATCGCTGCCACCAGTGCCTGTGTCCCCCACCATGCAGGGACCGCTGACACAGCTCACTGCCGGTGACCTCACCCCACAAGGTGCCCTGGTGCCAGCCATGCCAGCATCCCCAGCTCACAGCCCTCCCACAGGAGCATCACCCTCCAAGCCCTCAGCAGTGCCAGGGGCCAAATGGGGACCAAGGGCAACACAGGGGCCTTACCACACAGCACCAGTGCCATCCCCTGGCACCCAGCAGCACTCCAGCATGGCTCCAGTCGGCCACACTGCTCCTGAGGAGCACTCACCACCAGCAGACCCAGGGACACTTGCTTATGGTGCTGGGGAGCACGAGGTGCCCCAGCCCACCCCCACACCCCTGCCAGTCTGGGAGCAAGAGGAGGCTTTGCTGCTGCCTCCTACCACCATAGCAGGCACTGCAGTGCCCAGCTGGGAGGTCGGCAACTGGAGCGAGGTATGTTCCGGGTCCCACTAAAAGCATAGTGGGGCTGTTTTTAAGAATAGGAGACCCATGCCTTTCCCAGGAGCACTCTATGGCATTGCCAGGAGCCTGGCACAGGAGCAAGCTGCCACCATAGCACAGTTATCTTGAAATATTCCACAAAACGGCAAAGGCTTAAATGTCAAAGTTAAGGCGCAGTAAGGTTGCAAATTACCAAAGGCAAGGGGCTGCGCTGAATGTAGTGAATGGGGAATTATAAGTAATTATCAGCTATCATTTTACTGGATAGCTGTCCCATGGCTGCTCTTTGCATAGCACTTGCAGTGACAGACGGATGGCTTCTGCAATTCATGGTAATAGGCTTTTATCAGAAAGCACACACAAAAAAAGAGGCCTTCAGTGGCACGAATCACTGGAGACAGAGCTCTGGGGAACTCTTTTAAGGAGGCTGCACAAAGGACCCAGTAACTTTGAGGACAATACTTGCTGTCAGGAGGATACAGTCACACATATGGGCTTTGTGAGAGGGCACCTTCCGTCCCTGAGCAGTCTGGAAAGTGAGGGGTGAATCTGAAAGAGGAGATGAAGGCAGTACCTTTCAGGTGGGGTGAACAGAAGACAAAACTCTACTGGAGTTTGTAGTAGTAAAAAAGCAGGACTAGCAGTGCTTGTGAAAGAGAGGCATGGAGGGCATAAAACATGTTTTGAGAGAGCGCTCAAACTACTGAACAATTAGTGCTGGTTAACAGCATTCTTGCAGTGAAAAAGCTAAAGCCACCGCCATCAGCCAGGGATTCCCCGTGCGAGGAGAGAAAGAACAATCTCAAATCAGAAACAACTGCAAAAAAGTGTAGGAGTGGGTTTTCCTCCTCCCAGACAGAGGTCTGCCTGCCTCCCGCTGTGGAGTTTTAGCGCAGGTGCTGCTGGCCGCAGACTGTGAAGCTCCTTCCATCCCATGGCCATGCCTTATCGTGGCACGGTCTGGTTCCACCAGCACAGCAGCTGTGAGCTGAGCAGCGCACTGCTGTCAGCCCCAGGTGTGTTATTGGCTGCCCGTGTCTTGCAGTGCTCGGCCACCTGCGGTGTGGGAGCAATCTGGCGCAGCGTGCGCTGCAGCACCGGCACTGAGCAGCACTGCGCCGCCGCCAGCAAACCCGTCCCTGCTCGGAGGTGTTCCCTGAGACCGTGCTCATCCTGGCGTGTGGGGAACTGGAGCAAGGTAAGCAGGCGTGCACCCAGTCCCTGTCTCTCCTTCCACAGTGCCTCCCTTGGTAATGCGTGGAGAAGGAAAGTGGCTGTACCTGCCTAGTGGATAGAGAGTTGCATGCTGCCGGTGTGTGCTTTTGCTGCTTTCCTCTCAATTTGCATTTGTTCTGCTTTTGAGGTGGCTAAAAAGCTGGGGCCACAAAAAGTCATTGAAGAAAGGTTTGAAGGTATCTGGAAAATGCAGTTGAGAACCTGCAGTAGCAGGATGTGTTTCCAGTTAGGTTGGAGGAATCCTCTAAATTAAACAGTGAGGCATGACCCTTGTTGTTCTGGGCAGCCTCAATCTCTGAGATGTGTGGATGGGAGCTCACTACTTGTCTAATGCCAAGACTTTGTTGCTGTTACAACTGGAAGCCAGTTGGTTTCATGAGGAAGGTAGTGACGGATTCAGAGCTCCACGCACTGTTCTCTAGCTTTGGCTAGAGAAAGAGGTGAGAAGAAGTTGAGTGTTAACTCAAGCCAGCCCAAGGCGGAGTATGTCTTCGGTCGCTTTTCCAGGAGGACTGCTCCAGCCCCAGCCCCCCTTGTGATGTGCCTTTTGTTCATCCAGTGTTCCAAGAACTGTGGTAGGGGCACGAAGGTTCGGGACGTGCACTGCGTTGACACCAGAGAGCAGCGGCTGCTGCGGCCCTTCCACTGCCAGGCTGTTCTCTACAAACCACCAGCGCAGCTGCCCTGCCAGAACGCACCGTGCCTGGACTGGTACACGTCCTCGTGGAGAGAGGTAGGGCTGATGGCTGGGCTGGGCAGGCAGGGAGGCAGCGGGTCAGGGTGACTATTAAAGATCTGCAGTGCAGGAATAGGTGCTTGCAGCAGAGCTCCTGTCTCCTCCATGCTCTGGAAAACTTCACAATTTAGAGCGCCCATTGTCAAGAAGGAAACCACCTGCTGATATCGGCTGTAGTTGCAAAGTTGTTGCTTAACACTGGAAGCAGGATTTGTGTTTGCTTATGTATTGGTAGGGGCATTTTGCAGTTCTTTTCCTTAAGAAACCAATACAATGAGTTCCACCATTTGATGTCCCTGCAGTGCTCGGAGCCATGTGGTGGAGGGGAGCAGGAGCGCCTGGTGACGTGCCCGGAGCTGGGCCACTGTGATGAGACACTGCGGCCCAACAACACCCGGCCCTGCAACAGCCACCCCTGCACCAAATGGGTGGTGGGATCCTGGGGACAGGTGAGCACATGGGATGGGGACAGAGTTCTCTTGTGGGTTCTGTGATCAGCGTCCTCCTGGCTATGCTGTTGCAGCTCCTCAGCAGAGCCCTGGGCTGAGCAGGTCTTTGTGCCCGTTGCATGGCCTGGTTTCCTTAGAAAAGCAATATATGAAAACATTGCTAGCTCTGAATAATAGAATGGTTGGATTGGAAGGGCTCTTAAAGCACTGCCAACCCCACTCCCTGACGTGGGCTGATTGCCACCCACCAGCTCAGGCTGCCCAGGGCCCCATCCAGCCTGGCCCTGGGCACCTCCAGGGCTGGGGCATCACAGTTTCTCTGAGCAGCAGTGCCAGGGCCTCGGGCAGAATCCCAACTCTCCGAACTAAACCAGAGAATGCTGCAGTAAAAACCTAAGAAATCTTCCCACACTGGGGACTACTGCAATAAAAACACAGAAACTCCCTGGGGCTGACAGCTTCCTGCTCCTGCAGTGCTCAGTGCCCTGTGGAGGAGGCATCCAGCGGCGCCAGGTGAAGTGCATCGACACACAGACTGGGCAGGCGCAGGAGGACAGCAGCCTCTGTGACCACGAGCCGTGGCCCGAGAGCACGCAGAAGTGCAACCTGCAGAACTGCGAAGGCACCGAGGCAGGTGAGTGAGCGATGCCCCGCGGGGCTTTCTGCCCTTCCTGGTTACCAGCACATTATCTTTAATGTGCTGGTGCTCCCCAAGTGCTTGTTGAGCTGTCTGGTGCAAGTGCTTTGCTCTGGCAGCCTGGCTGTGAGTGTTGTATAAACCTGCACCAGCAGGTCAATGTGATGCAGCACTCGAATCCTCCTGTCACTGATCCCTGCCTGTTTCAAGGTGAAACATCCCACCAGCTTCAATAGAATAAGAATCAAATCCTCTCTTTATTGAGTTTCTCTGGCTCCAGTGGTGTATGCTAGTTGATGTTAATTACCTGACACTTACCAGTCAGACACACAGCCAGTGCCAGTCTGCCTTCCAGGCAGTCTTCAACAGATACTCCCACTGGAGTCAAGAAGTGTAACTGCCTTCGTACCACATCTCAGTGTGCATCTGGGTTGGGCTGCCTTGCCTCAATGCTCAGGGTTGAGGCTGGGGTTGATGTTTTACATTATGTAGGACTGGTAGAAGTTGAAATGGAGAAAGACAAGAGAATTACAGGAAATACCTGTGCACCACAAGAGTTAAGAGCTCTTAAAAGGAAAAGCAGTGCAATGGGGGGATTAGATGTCACTGATATTAACATGTTAATTATTAATCAGCCTTATCTTTTGAATTTGTCTGGAGAGAAAAGCTTTTGTCTGTCCAGCGAGAAACTTCTGATGTGCTGAGCTCTCTTGTGAGGCTGGGCAGGGCAGGGCAGCAGCACTTGTGGCTCTGTCCAGCCTCCAGGCAGCCCCTAGCCATTAGGTTTGGTCAAGAAATGATGTGTAGTTCCGGCTATTTTTGTCAAGGGAAAATTCCCATCACTTGGGCTTGGTGATGAGAGCTGTGTCGATGCTCGGCATATTCAAGGCTGTACCAGAATAACCACTTAGATGTGTAGGAAGCACACAAATAAATGTTATAATTCTGGATTAAAAATGACATAAATGCTCTGGCTGTGGCCCAGGGCAGGAAACGCCTCTTGGAAATACAAACATTTCCTGCCAAACTATGAGGAGGAACAAAACTTTCACATGGCAGGAAATCACAGATGTGTAAATCCACAGGCAGAGGCTCCCAGAAAAGGCATGAACGTAAACTCTGGCCCCTTCCTGAGCTCTAGAGGATCTTTACTGCACAAGATTAATGAGGGCTGTGGTGATTCATGTGTTTACGTTAGAAGGACGAGGAGCCTCTATCTCCTGTAACACGGAGTGCACTGGTACCAGATCATGCACTCATCTTTGGGAACAATTATGTTCTCGTTAAAAGATGTGAAGAACCCCAGCAGAGTTTAAATGTTAAAAACATAATCAGATGGATTTTTAAAGGAGATGGAACAGATTAGACAGAAGCAAACATCTCACCGGCAATCTTCTCTCCTCAATTAAAGGAGGTCGGAATTAATTAAAACCAGAATCCAGTTTTGTCACTGGGTTATAAATTAATTGATGATTACACAGAAGTTATTTTTAAATGTTCTTGCACTTTTACAGCTGCATCCAGCTGTGAGTGCAGAAGATAAGGTTGGCTGTGTCCTGAGATGGCTCCCAGGCAGCAACTGAGCCTGCCAGTCCCTCAGGTCTGTCCCTGCAGTGTCCTAGCAAAGCTGGGGACAGCCTTCTTACTCCATACAGAAACAAGGAACTCAAACATCTGTGATGCCACAGCAGGAGAATCCTTGTCAGATCTGAGCACGAGGCATCATGGAGCTTGAGGAGGAACTGAAACCACGGGCAGTCACTCTGAGTCTGGGAGACAACCTGGGGAAGCAGGATGGGGACCCTATAGGAGAGCCACTGAGGGTGAGTGGGAATGGTCACTGTCCCCGGTTGAGTGCCCTGGCACAGCACAGGACCCAGGGGCTGCGTAGGATCTGCTGGTGCTTTGCTGGGCTTTGCTTCCTCGCGTGGCAGCCAGGAGAGCCCTGCTGCCCCTTGTTCTGGAGGACGCCTCTGTGCTGCTGGCAGCGCTCTCTAGAAGATAAGAGCAGGAGCAGAATTGCTGGACTGTGGACGTGGCTGCCAGCGAGATAAGAGCAGCGTTTGTCTCAGGAAAGCTCTCTGATTTCCATCCATGCCTATGCACTGACCCCAAGCTTTTGCACGCACATCAGCCATGCCTGTTACCAGATCATTTCAATCGTTTCTTGCAGCTCAGAAAACAGGAAAAAAAACACAGTGACTGCCTTTGCAAAGAGCACCAGGAGGGAAGGGCAGCAGACACCAGGGTGGGGAGCCACAGCTGGGATGTGTCCGCACTCCTGTCCTGCTGGGGGACGAGGAGCAAAGTGCATAGCTTGCTGTTAGCATGCCCTGTCCATCAGGACGTCATTAAACACAAACCCCCGTTAGGGGACCGTGTGCTGCTGGCACTGCTCCCTCTCTCCCCCAGCAGCCATTGCCCACTTGCTGAAAACAGACGATGCAGGGGCTGTGCTGCAGAGATACATTCGCAAAGCGACTGATCCCCAGAAGTATCTCAAATCATAAATACCAGAGAGGGAAGGGGATAAAAGGCGAGGAGTACAGCTGTCCCAAGAACAAGGCTGCAGAAGGCAGTCATGGCTGTGGTTTCTATAGGAGTGGAACATAGGTTTCCTGCCAGCAGGAGTGGGCTCTGCCTGTGCCCCAGGAGCAGCCCGAGGAGCGGCAGCTCTGTGTGTGCTCTCAGCCTGCTGTCGCCTGTGCTCCAGGCTCGTTATCCAGTGCTTGGCTGTATTTCCAGTCACCTCAAGATTAATTGGCAATTAAACATCCTATTTCTTCTTGCTTTGAGTAGGGAAACGAAATTATTCATGGTTCTGCATACCGCTAAGTTTGTCCGCAAGGGATACATGCTGGAATTAACGGCAGCAAATTCCAATTTTTTTGTCATTTGCACATGTAAGTCTGTATCCTGGTGGCAAGAGAGGGAGGCTCTGCCATTAAGTGCCCTTTATTTATTGCTAATTAACAGCAGCAGTCAGTGGAGAGTGGAGCTTTGGAAAGGATTCTCAGTCTTTATGCATAACCTTGAGCTGAGCAGCAGAGAGGAAGATGCGTCTCCTCTCTCCTCCTTGGCAATCTCCAAGTAGATGGAAGGTTTTGAAAACAAACCTTGCCTTGTTTTTACAACATCTGTACCAGGAAGTTTGTTTTTCACCAGCATGAAAGTAATTAGCTCTGTATGGCAGAAGCTTAAATGAATTTTTAACTTTAATGAAGTTCAGTGTCCAGAGCAAGCAGTTAGGGGGGCAGAAGTGCCTGTTCATCTCCAGCACCAGGAAATACACACTGACAGTGAGGGCTCTGGGTGAGATAAAAGTAAGGAAAGCGAGGGCTGAAATGAAGGAGTGCTTCCCCATGGGCACAGGGTCAGCACCGCTCAGCCGTGCATTGGCTCTCCCAGTTGCTCATCCCCACCTTCTGCTTCCTTCATCAGCCCAGCACCACTGCTCTGCCTAATCCCCTTGCACAAAAAATAAAAGCAAAGCAATCAGTGAGTCCGTAGATGCAAAATGGCTGCACGTTCCTGCCTGCCTTGCCAACTGCGTGTTATAAGTGGCTTCAGCTTTTGGAGAGGAAGCTGTAGGTCATGTACAGAAATGTGTTTAAGTAGAGTTGGCTTTTTCTCCCCCTCTCTTTTTTGCTGAGAATGAAGTGAAAGACAGCACAGTTGTTTTCCGTGAGTGTAGGGAAAATCCTCCAGTCTTGGCTCTATATCAGCTCTTGGGAAATGAGAATTCCTCCCTGTCGGATCCAGACTGACAAATGGCTCCTTGCTCCTCCCCCCCCTGGTGAGCACGGCTGTTTGCTCACTCCTGTCCATGATCCCGAGGCTGGGTGCTGGTGATCCTTGCACAGTGATACCAAACTTGAGCACCAGCACCTGAATAATGGGGGCTTTCAGCTTTCCTCTCCCCATTTTCCAAGCTTTTAAAGTTCCATGGACCTTGGCATGAATGGCCAGAGTATGTGGGGCAGCAGGATGGGTGATGGCAGCAGTGCAGGTTTGCTTTGCAGGAGCAGAGACTGGGCACATACTGTAGCACCAGGGATTTAACTTTGCGTCTCACACAGAAGTGAGTGACCTGTTTTCCTGACACTGGTGCAATTCCCAGCACTGCAGAAACACCGTGCTGCCCACTGGGGCTCTGAAGGGGGGGACTGTGCCACACCAGCATTACGTGCGGGGAACTGAGGTGTGGGTGGGACAGACAGCATCCAGACCATGGCATGTGAATGCTCACCAGTCTGTAACGCTGGCCACGCTCATGTTGCTGCACTCAGCATCTGCTGCTGCCAGCTGAGGGTCTGCAGCCCTGGGAGCAGAAGCCAGGGATAAAGTTTGTTAAATTGGGACCTGGCTCTGAGAGCATCCCACAGGCCAGAGGTCAGAGGCTCAGAGCTCTTGTCTTGCTGGCTCAGCTCTGAGCCCAACCTTGCCTTGTTTTTACAACATCTGTACCAGGAAGTTTGTTTTTCACCAGCATAAAAGTAAGTGCTTAGCTCTGTATGGCAGAAGCTTAAATGAAATGTAAAGTGACTTCCATGTCAACTTAAAAAAACAACCACAAATTTGTGGGTTTTCAGTTTCTAATGTGCTGACTTGGCCTGGATTTGAAAAGCCCTGCTTTAAGCTATTTCTTCAGAGTAAAATTTGGCATCAGCTTGACGATTGAAGTGCGTTCTTAGATGAAGTGTTAGGATCATTAAAAAAAATTGTTAATAGACAAAAATAACAGTAGAAGGATTAAATGAAAATTGAACCAAATCTGCAGGGACCTTCTCTGAAGAGCTGAAAAATGAAGAGCTGGCTATAGCTTGCCTTGTCCAGGGAGGAATCGTGGCTCAGCCAAGTTGTTCCACACTGAGTTTGACCCTGTGTGCTGGGACACTGCAGGGCCTGAGCGACCAGCACTCAGCAACACCCCACCACTTCATTTTATAAAAATGCTTTTGACAAGCGTAGCCCTGCTGCGGGGTCTGACGGGAGGTCAGGAAGGAACAGCAGAATCCCCACTCTGCAAGCCTGCCCTGGGTTGTGTCTTCTAGCAGGACCTGCTCTGCACGTAACTCAGCTTACCCAGGGAATCCTCGCCTGGTGGGGCTGTTGGTCTTCTGCCTGAGCACAGATGCTGTGTTGGGAATTTCCGTTCCCGTGCCAGGGCACTGACCTGTTGGAAAGGGGATCAAACGACAGCCCTGGGAGGCTGCCCTCCAGCCAGAAGCTCCAGCAGCAAAACCTTCACAGCTCTTGCAAGGGCAGGCAGGAGGCAGCTTGGTTGCGATCCATAAATAACTTTCTAGGAAGGCTGTATGAGCAAAAGGCTCGTGAACAGCAACAAGCACAGCAAGGCATGCAGCTGCCCGCTGACATTCCCAGCGCTCTGCAGGGCCATCCCAGCCCAGCACCACTTCCACAGCAGGGCTGAGCCTCCAGAATGCCGCAGAGGTAACTGAGTTCTTGTAAGCCCCTTGGGGTTTTAACTGGTGTGACATTTGCTCTGTTAGATGCAGCAAATAGCCAGCCCCGTGGAGCATGCCATCTCATCCACACCTGCCTGGGCCATAGCTGTTGTCTCCACCTCTCCTGCTCAGCATTGCTATCCAAGCCAGCAACCCAACCCGACAGCTTTGTGAATGCTGCAGGAAGCCCACGCCATGCTGCCAGAGCCGTGCTGCAGCTGATGGTCAGTGATCACTGAGTCCTGCCCTAGTGCAGGGGTTTCAGCAGCTGAGATGGTTGAGGCTCTTTGCAGCTCTGCAGTTTGGGTGGCAGCCAGGTGCCCAAACTATTTCTAGCACGAAGCTTTGGGGGCAGGGGGGCTTTCTGCAAGCAGAAACTGAGGCTTCCATCTCCCATCAGAAACTCTGAAGGTATATTTGGATCACTGCTCAGTGCAGCCATGACCTGCAGCACTTGCAAACACAACTGTAGACCCATTTGTGAGTCCAGCAGTCTCACAGTGAAAGGGATTCTGTGGTGCAGGGATGCTTGTGACCAATTCTTGTGACTGACATCAAAGGAGCATCACATGAGCAAGCCGTTCCCCTCTGCCAAACAGCTCCAGTGCTCTTGGTGTTGTTATTGAAATGGAGCTGGGGTTGTGCACCACTCCCTGCCACAGCCACTCAGGGCTTTCCAGCAATTCCTCATCAGCTCTGCTCTGCCTGGAAATCTGCATCATGCTGTGCAGAACAGACCCAAACCCAGGCAAGGAGCACAGCACAGGGCCAGCTCTAGTGCTGGTACGGGTTGGTGGCAGCAGCTGGAGCCAGCAGCACCAGCAGGCAGCAGCATCAGCATTAAATGTTTCCTTCAGGACACAGACACTACTGCCGTGCAGAAGTAGTTGTTGGTAGAGAGGAAGAGAGGAAATACCTCTACTGAAATAGAAGATTAATTTTAGAGCAGGATAGTGACGACCTTGCTGGCAGGCTGAAGGCTGCGATTGAAGTCCAAAAGCAGGGGAACACTGTTCTGCATCTGCTGTGTCCCTTGCTCTCAGCACCAAGGATCAGATTGTCCCCGGTGGGAATGGGAATGTTGGCCTTTCCCTAAACGAAGACCTTTGTTCACCAAAGGGAGATGGTGTAGGGCAGTGCTCGCAGAGCTGCCTGGCTCTGTCCCCACTGCTGGCAATTCCCTGCCAAAAAGTGCCTAGGGAAAGAGAAAAGATGGCCTTTTTGTGGGGCCATCCCATGGTCGTCTGTGTGTGCTGGGCAGGAGATGCACAGGGACGGGGAGCACAGGGCTGCTGGACTTGGGTGCAGCCACTCTGCCCTTTTCCACAGAAGGGCTGTCGTTGTGTTTAATCACTTCTACAGGAGATGAAATTAGAACAGACGTGATTTCAGTGTTTTACACAGCTGTGTGAGATGCTAGAGGCTCAGCAGTGTGCAGTGCTTGTTTTCATACAAACTGGAAAAGTGGAAATTAAGAACTGAAGCAAACCCCTGATGCAGACTTGTAAACAGTGCGTGCTTGGAGATGGGTCTGTCCCATCAGAGCCCGGTCTGGGGCCGATTCCTGCAGCTTCCACAGGATGTTCAGCACTGGGACTTGCATGCAAAGTGTGAGGGTGTTTTTCAGGCCAGGTCTCTGTGGGCAGAAGCCAAGGAGTGGATGAAACACCTGGCTGTGTCACTCTGCCTTCAGTGCTCCCTGGCTGCTGGCAGAGGAAGCCCTGCGTGTCTCAGTCGCCACTCCTGCAGCTGGCCGGGGAGAAGCAGTTCCCAAAACAAAGCCCGTCTGCAGAACAGCATGGAGGTTTGTGAGACACCTGCAGGAAGGGAAGGAGATGAAACAAGTTAAGCACAACACAGAAATGAATTGTTGCTGAGGTGAGGGCTTTGGGGTGCTGGTGGGAGATGTGTGTCCAGGAAAGCTTGCAGAGCCACATTCAAGCACTGCTGTTGGCAGCACCAGGCCCTGACACGGCGCTGAAGACATTTGCAGTTTCGTCGTTGCATTCACTGGCCACAAACTGAGACTGAACTGGAATCTAGGATTGGATGGGATGAGCACCCGGCTCCGGGGCTGCTGCTCTGTGCAATGCAGTGGTGACAAGGCCCAGGCTCAGCCCCGCCTGCCTTTATGGTTTCTCTGCTCTGGAAAGGTGCTGCAGGCTGTAGGTAGAAGTACAGATTTTGCTTCTACTGGTGATTAGAAATGAGGACCAATGGCTGCTCAGTGCTGAGGGGAAGGTGACTGCATTTTGTGAAGTCTCTACCAAGTGCTTGCTGATTTTCCTATCAAATGCCTGCCACAGTGGGACTGCAGTAACGCTGTCCTTGTCCTCTCACATCCTCTAGGCTTCGTTTGTGAGCGGGACCGCTTGACGTTCAGCTTCTGCCAGACCCTGCGGGTGCTGGGAAGGTGCCACCTCCTGACAGTCCACATGCAATGCTGCCAAAGCTGCCGCCAGCACGGGCACCACGGGGCTCCTGACCAGGACCGCGGGGACGAGCGGGCCTCCAGGAGGTGACAGGACCATCCCAAGCCCAGAAAGCACCTGGACCCGTGGCGGCTCTGGGAGCAGCCCTGCGGCACAGGAGGGAGCTGGGGACCAGCCAGCCGTGCTGCTCTGTCACTGCACAGGGTGGCGTGGCCCAAGATCCACACGGTGCTCTTGCAAAACACAGGGAAGGCATGATTTGTTTCATTTGTGCTACACTTTAACGGTGCTCAAACGGTCCCTCTGAGAAGTACGTCTGGTTGGGCCGGGGGTGCAGGTCTCACCAAGTGTGCTGTGCCAGAATGGGCATAGCTGTCTGTTAGGGTCACAGCCATCACTGAGCAATCACAGAGAGCATGTTAGGGAAGGGAAACTTCAAGCAGCAATTATGTGGGGAGTCTTCTCAGAAATGCTAATGGTGCTATCGTTTGATATTTTCAGCCTCTTGATGGTGTTGGCAGGCCAGCACAGAACTCTTGATTTCTATTGTTATTTTTATATGTATAAAATGAGTATCATTCCATCAGTACAGCTGACCATTTGGATTTTTTTTCCCCCCTTAAGGGACTGGAAGTTGGCAACCCATTTCTGTAATTTTCATTGGATTGTTTACGCACTGAAGCTCAATAACCATAATTTAAGAAACGGAGAGAGATCAGAGGAAGAAAGCTTTCAGCTTTAGTTACCACCAGAAGCCCTGGGCTCGCAGTGCATGCAGGGGCCCTGCCCTCTTTGTGCTGATGGCTTCATCTGTAAAAGCCCCCACCCGTGTGCGGAGCAGAGGGGCTGGCTGGGGATACAAGGCAGGAATGAAGTGAGAGATTGCTTTGGAGTCAAACAGTGTAGGCCCTTGAGTGGATCAGTGAAAGAGATGGAAAGCTGTTCTAGCCCCAGCTGTGAGCAATGAGTGTGCATGGCAAACACTGCTCCTATTTGGCCACATCCTTCCTTGTGAAAGCCCAAAAGGCCAAGTGAATTGTACTTACACAACTGGATTTCGGCATGCAGTTACACTGCAGAACTTTAATGGTTGGTTAAGGTGTTTTTCTGTGCTCTTACCAGGCTAAAAACCTTTCTGCTTATGTAGATGCACTTCTGTTAAAGTTAGTTGGTTCTTTTTTACTATAGTAAGTGCTACTGTATGAGAGGCACCCGGCAGCTGGTCCGGCAGTGCTCCTGTGTTAATCCTTGAGGCCTTAGGGAGGATTTGCTGTTAGGTTGGCTCCTGGAGGAGGGCGGGTGCATTTTGGTAGCACTCCTTTCTGTATTACTCTGCAGGCTGAGAAACTGGGAGACTGTGAACACAGCACTGCTTGTGCTGAGCTCAGTGGAAAAAGGACAGAGCCCAGCATCACTGCATTGCATTGAGCAGTGTGGTCACACGCAGACGGATGCTTAAGTTGTACTGTCTGGAACAACTGCAGAACTGTGTCACGTAACAAGGGGAATTCCTGTCTGTGACTTGCATGTAAAACACAAGCCATGACTTCACCATTTGTGTTGTATTCCTTTCCAACGTGGTGTAAATTTTTACATTTTAAGAGCCTGTGTTCATTCCTGTTTTCTTTTGGGTTGGCACCGTCTGTCCCTTGCTTCTGTCAGCGCTCCTAGGTTTTGCTAAGGAATAGCTAGCTCTAAACGTGTTGGGTTTTAATGGCTATCGCCCACAAGTGTGTTAAATTAAACAGTTATTGAAGGAAATTGAAGGGTTTCATATTTTCTCTTCTCCTTGGGGAATTCTAAAGGGCTTTTCACTGAAAACTCAGTTAAGCAGAGGCAGTTTAGGTCCTGGCAGCAGCAGGGGTTTGATTGCTCTCATCTCAGCTGCAGCAGAGAGAAGCAGTCAGTTTGCATCTGAAAATCATTTAAGGCTGCCCATAGAAACTGGGATTTGTGTGATTGCAATCTGAGCTCTGTGGATTCGAGGTAAAGCACTGGTGCTCCCGGAGCTAAAGGCTTCAGCCTCTGATTTGTGGTGCAAATTGATTCACTGCAGAGCTAACCATAACAACCAAGCAAACCCAGTGGCGTTCTGCTTGTGCACCACAGGCAGTCCAGGCAGCATACATTGAAATTCAGGTGTTTGTTGAAAGAATTGTGTAAATTCTGCCTGAATTATATGCATTTCAGTACATTGGAGGTGAAGCATTTATGTGTAAGTGGCTGATCTAACTCAGTGCCATGATGCAGTCACTGAGCTGCCCTTTCTGTCACCCAACAGTGTGCAGTTCTGGGGACTGCAGCTGTGCCAGGTGTCATTTCTTCCCAGAACTCGCCTCAGTTTTCCGGAGTCACGATTCTCTTTTCTCTTAGCACATCTGACAATGCTTACTCATTTTCCTAGCACTGTTTGTGCCCCATGCCTCCAGGAAAGGTGTGGCCTCGTAAATTGCCATGCTTGCTGAGCTTGGGGCCGGCTGCGTGCCATCCATCGCTGCAGGCACAGCTCAGGGCAGTTGCACGCTGCCAGCACTGTGCCAGGACAATGCAGAGCAGCAGTGCTGGGTGCTGCTCACACCACTGACCCCATGCAGGCGTTGGGCTGGGCAGCGTTCCCCTCCCAGAGCCCTCGCTATTAATAGGCCCTGCACAGGGAGAGCCCTAAGCAATGCTTTTTGTTGCAGATACAGGATATGTGGTTACCAGGATGCATTCAATTTGTCATTGTAAGATACTTTTGGTTCATTACTTCAGAAAGACCCCATTGAAGACCAACTCTGCAAAACACGTATGCTTCATTTGCCACACAGTAAAGGCGGGTTTCCCACTAATTGAGAACCTTCCCAATGTGGGACTCTTAAGTCTCACTGACCTTTGTCTGCTCTGTTTTACTCGGCCAGTGTGAAGAATATTGGATTTCTCTGCTAAGCTGTCAGGTGCTGCAGGGAATTTTGCTCTTGCAGCCAGTTCACCTCCCCACTGGGTTAATGCAGTGGGTGCTGCAGGCTGGGATTTATACAAATCTGGGCAAGCTTAATCACAGCACCAACCAGTACTGGAGCAATGCACAGCTGCAAAATATCTCCTGTTCCAAATGAATTGGTCTTAATGTTTGGTGCCATTGAAGATTTCAGTGTACATGGTGTAAACGATGCCATCCTCTGCCTGCAGCACAGACTGACTGCAGGCTGCTGCCATCTCTGCCCTCATGCACCTATTCACATCTGTGTGTAAACACAGAGAGAGTGACATACAGATAGGCTTCTCTCTGCTTTGCACAGCTGCAGGCCTCCACAGCAGCATGAAATACTTCAGCCTTCACTGCCTTGTTCCCATCAGCAGTGTGGGGCTGCAGCTGGGTGCCAAGCTGTGTGCACAGGGAGAGGCACTGCAGTAACATCACCTGTTGCCCTCGGGCTCTCAGTGCCATTTATGTGCAAATCTCACACATTTATCTGATTACAGTCCAGAAGCTGTTCATTTAAATTAAAGGTTATATGAAACAGGTTGGGACTCTGAAACCATGACCTGGAGCGTTTTTGCATTGGATCAGGAAATGAATTGAGATAACCCTGCTGGGATTAAATTTCTAGAGAAATAAAGCGAATCATTGCCATTTCCCTCCCTGAGAAATGCCTTTTCCTCTTCCCAGGGTATTTCAGGTCTTTCTCATGGATACGCTTACATTTAAATCAGCGTGAAGCTGGTGGAATTGTAGCAGAAATTACCCCGGTGAAGCCCACTGACCTTGGGAGGAGGCTTTGCTTGCAGCTGGTAGCACACAGTGCACAGTGCTGCTGTGCAATGCAAACTGTGCCGGGTGCAGGCAGAGTTCTCCCTCCTCACCCTCTGAAAATCTGTTTAGCAGAGGCTTCTTTTGGGGCACATCATTCACATCAGTGCTGATCTATCCAACAGCTGCCTATGGACCGTGGCACAATTGGGTACGGCACAGGAAAAGCAGTTGTGTGTTTCAAGGCTGCAATTAATGGCTTCTCAGAAAATAATAAACCAGAAACAACAGCCATCAAAGCAGTGCCAGCTGCAGCTTTGCCACAGAGGTTCCATCGAACTACCCAGCCAACAGTGGTGCAAAGAGCCCCTCACATCCAAACAGCTCCCAGCATCACAAGCAACTGAACTTCTAAACTTACAGTTCACTTCTGGGAGGCCTGGTACACCTGCAGCAGGCTGAACACAGACAGAAGCACTCCAAATGTGTCTCACACAAGTCCAGATCTGTCTTCAGATTCACTGTTCTCAGGTGTATCTCTCACCACAAACACGTAAGAGGTTTTAGGTGGTTGTATTTTGTTTTTTCCTTCTCTTGAATGTCACAGAAGGAAAAGTGCCCTCTTCCACGGAGCTCCCGGAGTATCAGCAGGAGAGATCAGACGCTGGGCTTTTGGTATGGCAGGAGACAAAGAGAGAAAAGGCATGTGTGCTATTTTGGGATGTTTGGTGGCAACAAGCAAATGTCCTCAAGGGACAGAGCTTTCCTGAGAAAGTTCCTGCTTCAAGGCAAAAAATGTAAAATGTGCAATGAGAAGATAAAGAGATGTTGCTGAGGGGACGGCTCTCCAGTCTCTAACAGCAGCTTTAAAGCAGGGACTCTGATAAAAAAGTTATCTTTAAGTTCACATACTTACATCTGGGGCCGTGTAAAGCAGCCCACAAAAGCAAGGACAAGCAGCAAACAGCAGCCCTGGAGCTGTGCTGTCCCTCCGCAGTGCTCTCAGCCCCGGCTCTGGGCTGCCCTGCCAGGGGAGAACTGACCTGAAGGAGGAAGAAGGGAAAATAAAAACCGGAGGCAGCAGCAGCACAGGGTTTTGCAAAGCTCCCCGTCTCTGAGTTCCTTTCTCAGCGCTCCCCCTCGTGGGAAAGCACTTCCAAAACACTTCTGTCTGTGTTTCCTTCTCTCCACGAACCATTAACAGCTAGGAAAAAATCCTTTGCTTTTGTTTTTCTCCTTTTGAAAAGGAGCAAAATGACACATTCCTTCGATTTCATAAAGTCAGCATAACTTTAATTTTAAAAGGGCAATTTCTATGTGAAGTTTTACTCTGTTCAGCTGACTCTGCAGACTTGCAGACATCGCCTTGAGGCCATTTCAGATACGATGTGTGACACCGAGTCCTGCCGCGACTTCAACGAGAACAAAGGTGCAAGGAACACAACCACCACAGCCCAGCAGCTGAACAGCACTGAAACTCCTGGAGAAAGTGCTAGGCTGCTGCTGCTGGCCATTAACTCGGCAGAATGCATCCTTTATTAATTAAAGACTGTTAACTCTTTTATTTTCTGTTTGCAACACATTTTGTGTTTACTCTGCCATGGTGCTGCTCATCCTTCCTAGGGCATCCTGAATGATTTAGGAGGTTTGAAATGGCAGATTACCCCCTACTGTTTCTTTCTTAAAAGCCTAAAAAAGTAGAGCCCAATGTCAGCAGGAGCCTTCAGGCACCATCATGCTAAAATAACTCACAAACAAGCTCCCCTTCTTGTCAGCTCTTACTGGAGATTCTCAAAGCAAGCTCACTGCTCACTGCTGAATGTCACTGCTTTCAGAACAGTCTCTTAGTGAGCTTACTGGGGGCTGCTGTCCATTCTAAGTTTGCCTTTGGAGATGCAGTGATTAAAACTGTGATGTACAAATTCTCAGTGAATAAACACACAATTTCCAAAAATGCTTCCAGAGGAAACAAAATACATTCTCATGGCGCCAAGTACTTGGAGAATGAAGTGCCTTTACTTTGTGGCCATTTGCCGACGCAGCATTTCATCATCTCACCATGTTAGTGCATCAGAGGAGGCCTCAGACCTTCCAAGAGAATCACAGCACATGCTACCAATGTAATTCTTTCACAGGACAAGATCTCCCTCTGCTCTTCATCTGTAAACTTAGCTGGCAGGAGCTGTTGCCATTTCAAGAGCCTGCTGGAAAAAAAAACAATACAAAACCTTTCTAAATGCCTCTTTTAGGATATATTGTGGTAGACTATTCCAGCTGAAATGTAAATACACAGATTGTTGATTTTGACCAAAGTGGGACTTTGGCACTGAAGCAGGGAGATTACAGCTGTGACATCCGTCAGAGCGTCGTTCTACAAGAACATTTTCTCCACCGTTCATAACGCGCAGCCTAGATGGAACCCATTCAGTCATTCATGCCCTCAGGAGAGCTTCATGAAGCTCATTATTAAAATGGTTACAAATCCCAGAAATCTCAACAGATGTTGCACAGAACTCTGAGGATTTCTCGCTGTTTAACCAAATACAAGCCTGCTACAGTCATCACAGCTCCACTTGGGAAAGGCTCCAACCCAAGTTTTTTACCTGGGGGAAAACCAGTTGCACAAGCTGCTTTGCACTGCCCAGGTAACACCTCAGGATCTGGGAATGGTTTGCCAGCCAGCAGCACACAGCTGCACACAGCTCAGCACTGGGGCCCTCCTGTGGCTGTGCTGTGGATCCTGAACATCACTTCTCCCCGAGGACAGCCGAGAGAAATATCCGCCTAATTCTTCAGGGAAAGTAAGTGCATGGTCAAACCCACAGCTGCAGCAGGAAATGAACCCCGGGGGACTTGAGAGAAAACACGTGACAGCTGACAACATGATGGATGCCCCAGATCAGATTAGAGAGGCAGCAGCAAAAAGAAACAGAACAGCAGTGACCACAGGCTGCAGGCTTCTCTCCTGTCCCACGCTGCAGGTAAGCTGCAACAAACAGCAGGATCAAACTGGCAACACGTTGCCACAGGAAAACTTACCCTCAAGGTAATTGGAAACCAGAATCAGAAACATGTACTTCTAAACAATACAGACATTTAGCAAAAATGGGGTCTCGGTAAAGGCTGCAGTCCAATCGCTTGGTTCCCGGTTCACTGAATTCATTTCAATTTTAATGTGTTCACTGGAAACAAACAAGTTGAATAAACGTTAAGTTCTCTAGCAGAAACCCAAACCTAAGCTAAAGAAAAAAAAAAAGGTGCTGATCTCAAAGCAGCATTTCAGTACAAGAATCTCTTTTATTTTTACAGTGCGGTGATTGAAACCATAGAAATTTAACCTGCAAAACTGCGTTTGTGTCACAATGTCTATCAGAAGGCAATACATACGGTGCTGTTTCATTTTTTAATGAGATAAAATACTTCTCTGGACACCAGATATTACAAACTCTTAACACTATATACTTTGTTTTATTTTAGAGACTGATTTTTCATAATTTATATCTATCTTATAAACAATTTTTTTAAAAAACATACAGAAGATAAAAAGAACTCAAGTATTAAACTCAAGGCTTTGATTCCTCTTTTTTAAACAAAGATAACTTTAAGAAACGTATCAAAATGCTGTGTGCTGCAGCTCCTAGTCAGGCTCTGTCACGCACTGCTCCACGATCTCACGCAGGTTTGGATTCTCCATCGCAGCTGCGACTCTCTCTTTGTCGTTGATTTGCTTATTGACTGCAAAACATAGGGGAAGTGAAGTCAGAAGCAGTTCTGAGTGGTACTTTACGCATACAGCACCGTGAGCACAAGTGCAAGGCGGAGTTTCTCCAAGCCCCCAGAATGGCCAACTCAAAGAGGGAGAAAATGCTGCGTTACAGAAACAGTGCGTTCTGCCCACCTCACTGCAAATCTCTATTCAGGCAGAGGACTGAAGTTTGCACAACAGCCCAAACTGAAATGGTGAATTGCTGTGCTGGCAGACATCTAGGTTGTATAGCTGAGCACAAAGCCAAGGAGTTGAGAGGAGAGGTTAACAGGAAATTGTAAAACAGAGCGAGGGAGCACTCAGTCACAAAAAAACATCCATCAGAACCAAAAGTTTTCTGCTTTTCTTGTTTAGGAAAAGAATACAAGGTACAAGGTATGCTAATCAAGTGTCTTCAAATGAAGTGTGAAGTTTGTGACAAATTAGTAGTCGGTGTTCTCCAGGTTCAATGTCTTGTCATTTAATGGCAAGAACTGGTTTTCCCCCACATAAAGATTTCTGCTGGTTAAGAACAGGGGCCGAGGCGTCGCCTCAACAGAGGCTTTAGCAGCTGTTTGAGATGGTGATTAAATGCAGCTCTGGAAGAATTCAGTGTCCTACAGATTTTATTTTAAAAATACAGATAAACTTCACAGTGTTAAGATCATCAACCAGGCAGGAAGTTCTTCATGCTAATAACTGAGCAGCATAACAGCAACTTCCCAAAGAACACAGAGTCTAAAGCTCTACTTACTGTCTTCTTCAGTGGAATGTGTACCTTCAGATATGTAGATTTCCAGCTAGAGGAGAGATCAGTGTTAGATGCATTCATCAACTGTAAAATAGATCCAGTACCAAAACAAAAAACTACCAAACACATACAATGCATGGAATCTGTACCTTTCAAAATGTTCCTATACAATGGAAGGGAACCACTGACAGCAACTGATCTGAGCCTCGTGACTGTGTTGCAATAGATCTATCTCCATTCAAGGAGGCCTCAGTACTCCTTCAAAACTGTGGCAGCATTCATGTCTCACTAATATCAATGGCTCATGTGAAAAATCCATTGCAGCTGGGCTGCTTGGAAACAGTGCAGAATTGGCATTTCCTTCCTGACAAGTTCTCTGCTGGTCACAGCTCAAGGACTATTTGTTTGAAAGCCACCAGAACTGCAAGTGTCACTTTCACAAGCTAAGAACTCTTGGGAAGACATCCTTAGGAACAGATTTGTAAAAAGATATTCCTTTTAAGTCTTACTCAATGACAAGAAACACATGTTCTATCTGAAATGGTGGCATAGTACATTATCTGGTTTCTGCCTGGGAGAGATTGTAAGACTAAATGCTAAACAGGCCCAAATTGACTTCATGCATTTAACTGAACAAGCCTGGCAAAAAAAACAAACACCAAACAAA